ATAAGTCAAGGACTACCTGTACTTTATCACTTTTTTCCAATTTTTTTGGGGGGGGGTCAAGTTTTTGACACCTCGCTAGGTGACTGGTGGTACTCGAATGTTGCCATATTCTAAAAGTGGTACAATCGGTGAAAAGGTTGAAAAGCCCTGATCTAAATAATATTATCAGTAGGAGTGAATCCACTGTTTTTCCAACAAGATTGGAAATACTTTTATTTTTAATGTGATGGTGTAATAAATTCTAATCCCGGAACTCTCAGTTTCATTGCTTAATTTTCTTTCCATCTTACTGCTTATCTTCAAACCCAGTTTGTTTTTGTGATTAATCACTATGCTTTAATTATGTTCAATTTGTAACAATGAAAATACATCCTGCATATCAGATATTTACATTACGATTCGTAACAGTAGCAAAATCACAGTTATGAAGTAGCAACAAAAATAATTTTATGGTTGGGGGTCACCACAACAAGAAGAACTGTATTAAAGGGTCACGGCATTAGGAAGGTTGAGAATCACTGCTCTAGAAGAACATCTAGAAGAGTTTTTATTCTTATATAAAATTGCAGTCTAAATCTTTCAGGTTTATTTTATTGTTGTAGGAATCACGTGACTTCACAACCTAATGAATGGCGTAATATTTATGATAGTAAAGAACCACAGAATGTTCCTTTACCCACCCCATGGAATACGGACTTAAACGAAATAAAGAAAATGATTATTCTCCGATGCTTGAGACCTGACAAGGTAAAGATGATTTATGTAACATAATTTCTATTGGCAGTTAATTAAGTAGCTGTCGTTTGCGTTCCTAAATATAATTCCATTTATTTTATGTCTATCTTGCATTTTCTAAATGTAAGCATTCAAAACAGCTAACAATACAAATACAAAATGCAAAAAATAATCCTCTAGCCAATGTAAAATCTCAGAAGCACCAATAGCATTTCAACAAATGCACTGAATAAGAAAATGCTTTAGCTGACTAAGCTACCAAGAAGCCATCTTTTTTGACTGATTTTCAAATTCTGCAATAGGTTTTAGCAGAATTTCTTCAGAATTGAATTGCTCCAGTGTTGTTAAAGACTATTCAAAATCAGATTTAGTTTTGAAACTGATAGCTGCCCAAAAAGGGATCCCATTAATTTGCAGAGTCAAAGAATCATTTTCAAGTTGAATTCAAAGAGAAACTGAATTTCCTTATTATACCCAATGATAAAAGTTAATTACAAAAATATTAGATTGTCATGCATCACAGGTAAGCAAATATGAAATCAACTATACATTTTCTTTCTAAACACTGAAGCATTAAGCGAATGTATTAGCACACCTGTTTCCTTCCAACATTACATGCAGTATATATTGAAAGAAAATCTTCTGGTTTTAGTTATTTAATTTTTTAATTCAAGACTGTTCAAATCACATTTCATTTTAAAATAAGAAAGAAAGAAAATAGTATTACTGCTTATAAAACTAACAGTTTCAAATACATTCCTCAAAATATGTAGAAAAAAACCCCTGCCAACATGTAAGCTTTTGGATCATTGCAACAATTTTTCACAGTATTTAGATTTGTTTTAATTATTACATATTTTAAATTATTAAATATTTACCAATTAAGCTGCCTTGAAATAAAAACTGTATAATTTACAGCAAATCCTATATTATGCTCACCATTTAATTTGAAAACAGATTACACCGGCTATAACAACCTTTGTGACTGATAAACTTGGAAAGAAATTTGTTGAGCCACCTCCTTTTGATCTAACAAAAAGTTACTTAGATTCAAATTCTTCAATCCCTTTAATCTTTGTGCTGTCTCCTGGAGCAGATCCTATGGCAAGTAAGTTCACTCATTATACTTGGTTTTTTTTCTTTACAAAAGCTTCTGTTAGTTTGGGTTTTTGAAGTTTCTGAATATCTTTCAAACATGGCATTTTGTAATGCAACTTTTGGTTTATTGTTCATAAAACTGAGTTTGTGTTGTATGTTAATATAAAACCGGTCATGGTTCCGATAGATGAGACCAGAAGAAAATAATAACTCTGAGGCAATTGCATTCCTCAAAGAATACTTTTAATGGCTACATTGTATCGGCACACTCAAAGGTGAAACCAAGACTGAAGGTCCCTCCCCCCAAGGCTACAAAATAACAAGTTGAATTTCCCACCCCCTATAATATATCATAAATCACAATCCCCAATTATCTACTTTGGTGGGCTTTCTAATGGAAATTCGAGCCCACCAAAATTTAGATAGCTTGACCTTGGTTCCCACAAGAAAGTATTTGTTATGGCTAAACTAAGAGAACACATCCTCCTCCCATTGCTGTGGCAACCAAAAACGAGCAGGTTTGACAAAACCATTAAAAGATACTATAAAGAGAAAATATATTTTCAAAACATTCCTAGGAATGGGGAAATTGAGAGTTGGGGAGACAAATGCTCTTTATTTTGCTATCCTGTTTGCTTTATTTGCAACCTTCATTTATTTTTGTTTGTGACTCTTCTAAAATAAATAGCCAACACAAAACATAATTTAGATCTATTATGTATTACTGATGCTTTAGCCAGAGCAAGAGAGGAGGAAGGCAGTAATCCTCTGGAAACACTTGATGATGATCAGATGTCCTGCTCTATAAATAGATATTTGTTAGGACATATATGTTAAGTTGGGCAGATAAGTGGTTTTGGGGTCCTCCTGAATTTGCAGCTTCTGCTGAAATAGGAAACAGAAGTTATGGCCAAGAAATTTTTTTTCACAGCTTTAGTATAGTTGAAACCTTCCTGAACCAGAATCTGAGCAAGGATAACTCAAACTTTTATCACTTCTCATTTGGATTACTTCAATTTGTTGCACATCTGGCTGCCTTAAAGTTAGTTTGAAACTACAACTGATGGAGGATGCAGTTGCTGACCAACAGACCAGTAAAGTCTGCTATAGCAAAATAATATTCAACTTGCATGAACTGCATTGGCTATCAGTGGGTCTCTAGCCTCAATTTAAGATGCTGTTTTTCAGCTGTAATGCTCTTTATGACTTGGGTATTCTACATCAGCGTTCCACAATCTTTTTGGCATCAGAGAACTGTTTCATAGAACAGGTCCCTAAGCCCCAGGCTATAGACCAGTACTGGGCCGTGGCATGCCAGCAATCTGTCTGCATAAACAAACAAAGCCCCATCTGCAGGATGTAGGCTGCACACAAAACCACGCACTCTTCGGTCCGCAGAAAAACCTCCCCACGGAACCAGTCCCTGGTGCCCAAAAGGTTGGGGACCTCTGTCATAGAAGACAATTTTTCCATGGACCCAGGGGAGGGGGGATGGTTTCGGTTTAATTCGCTTGCCCACTGCTCATCTCCATCTGTGTGACCCAGTTCCTAACAGGCTGCAGGCCAGTATCGGTCTGTGGCCTAGGGGTTGGGGACTCCTGGTTTACATCTTTGGGGCTGCTTGCTTCAAGTTGAATCTGCAAGCCAAGAGAAAGGCTGCAGATTCTTCCCCAGAAAATGTTGAAGGGGCAGGAATCCAAAAGTAGAGTTTCTCGATTCTTTACTCTTCACTCTGGAATTGCTTTTTCTCAGATGTTGGCATTTTCCTCATTATCTTGAAAAATAATAAAAACAGTGCTTTTCCAAAGAAGTTTTAGAAGGGATTGTGGACTGATAGTAGTTTACTCAGGAGATCTGTGGGCTGAAAGATCAGAAATACTGTAATCTAGTATTTATTGTACAAATTCATGATGCCTCTATGTTTTGGTTTTTATGTTGAATATTTTCTTGTAAGCCACCTGGAATTGTTTGATGAGATGGCATGCATATATGCACAAATAAATAAATGTTATTTTGTAAATGTCACTATTCACTATTATCTTTTCATGAGCTAAAAATATGAGATGTGACTCAGCCTCAGAAGTTTCAGATATTATGAGCAGAAGTAGCACTAGGAGATATTACATATAATACACTAATAATGTAACTAGCTTTTCTGATGGTGTAAACATCCCCATTAAACATATTTCCAAATTATGAACATGCAGTTATTTGTGTCTTGGTGTATGTAAATTGCCCCATATTAATCAATTCATTTGCCACCTGAAACCTATAAATGAAATGTAGATATTTATCAAATCTGATTTTGAATACAGCGCCTAGATAAACTAAAAGGCATGACTTACAAATAGTTTTAGATGTGCGCTTTATAATTAACTTCAGACAAATATTAATGTATTACTGTTTTCATGCCAGGTCTTTTAAAATTTGCAAATGACAAAAATATGATTGGAAGTAAATTTCAGTCCATCTCTTTGGGACAAGGGCAAGGACCAATAGCAACAAAAATGATTAGAGAAGGAATGGAGGAAGGGACCTGGATTTGTTTACAAAACTGCCATCTTGCTGTTTCCTGGATGCCAATGCTGGAGAAAATCTGTGAAGAGTTTAACAGTGAAACTTGCCATTCCTCTTTCAGACTCTGGCTGACTAGTTATCCATCACCCAAGGTATTCCAAATATGAAATGTATCTGAGTATTTATAAAAATTTTGTATTCTATAATAAATAAATCTTTCATGGCTATCATCAGATAGTCCCAAAGATGTTCTCTGCAACTCATCATGGCTTTACTAAAGCTTTCATATTTAATATTTACTTATTATTAAATTTATTAGTTGCCCATCCTGGGATTCGAGGTGACACTAAGCTGCTTAAATGTGATAACATGTGCAAATAAAAATATATATAAATATAATGCTGCTTTTTACTTAGAGAAGGGAAGATTAGATGAGGTTTTTTGCCTTAGTGGTATCCATGCTATGTGCAGCATTTCCTGCTAATTGTCTTGACAGTGCTGGAACCTCATAGTTTGATTGATTAGTTGATTCATTGCTTGATGTAGAGACACAAAAAACACCACAGACAATATTTTAAAAAGGTAGTGTATGCTGAATAATTTAAAAGAATGTTAGCAAACTTGACTGTTAGTAAAGTTACCATGCTCACTTTGCCTAGTTTCCAGTCACCATTCTTCAGAACGGTGTGAAGATGACAAATGAACCTCCTACTGGCCTCCGGCTGAATTTACTTCAGTCTTTCGTCTCTGATCCGCTTTCTGATCCCGACTTTTTTGCTGGGTGTCCTGGAAAGGAGCAGGTAACTTTCTTCCTAAAAATTGGTAAAGAGATAATTAATTAACAAAATTACACAGTTTTGCTTGCCAAATATTAAAGTGTAGCTTTGGTATGGACCTCTATAAAAAAGATTTTTGTATAAAGTTTGTATTCCCTGGCCTTTTTTTATAAAATCTCTACTCTACATACTTGCTGATATCTCCCTGTTTTGTTATCTTTTTCCTCTGCCACAATTTCAAACCTTTTGTATCCATCAGTACCATAATCCTACAAAATTGTTAACTTCAAGGGAGGCTAAGTTCTCCATCCTTGTATAATACCTTTAAGGAAGAGTCTCTCATCCAATCAATATATTAAAATAAATGCTCTGTGTGGGCTGCCTAGCAAAACAGCAATTAGGCAAGTGGCAAACCTCTGAAAGGATGCAGAGTAATGTAAGATTTTGACCCTGAATAAAATGTACTGATAGGAAAAGGCAACTCATTTGGAGTTAGTGACAATATCACTTTATGGCCAAAACAACTTTTGAATGTTATTATCAGCCACGAGTTTTCTAGATACAGAATTTTTCAGTTGTGTTTGCCTTGTTTTATTTCCATCTGGGTTGACTGAGTGTTTTTCCCCTTAAAAGAGATGGGAGAAGCTGCTGTTTGGAGTTTGCTTTTTTCATGCCCTAGTACAGGAGAGAAAAAAATTTGGACCTCTGGGATGGAATATTCCCTACGGATTTAATGAATCAGACTTGCGAATCAGTGTCAGACAATTGCAGGTACGCCTCTTCATTGTTTCTTCCAATATCTACCCAAGGTTGTAGCAAAATGTTCATAAGCTGATTCCATTCTAAATTCATGTTTGAGTAGACCCTACTACTGAGAAACTCAGATATGCACCCAGCTTAACCATCTGTATTTCATGCCTAATATTTCCTTACTAAAGGAAGCTAAAAAAACTAGTAAACTTGCTTGAAACATGAGCTGTTCTGTTAAATATATTAATATTAATGTGTCCTTTTCCATGTTTCTTTGATGTTCTTTGAAGTGGCCATTCCAGAACCCTGCTGGGAAAAATAGGCCAGTCTTGAAATATTGATACTCTTTTAACAGATAAAAACCTATAGGGAAGTTTAGAGAACACTTGAATATTGTTGTTGTCCTCTGCTGAGTATTTTGTTTACAATTTCAGTTGTTTATAAATGAGTATGAACACATCCCATTTGAAGCAATAACTTACCTTACGGGTGAGTGCAACTATGGAGGAAGAGTCACAGATGACTGGGACAGACGTCTACTACTGACTATGCTTGCTGACTTTTACAACTCAGATATAGTGGAGAATTCACATTATAAGTTTTCTCCTAGTGGCAACTATTATGCTCCCTCAAGGGGCACTTATGATGATTACATTGAATTTATTAAGGTATGATTTTATGTACAGGGTTCATATTTTTAAAAAGATTTAGCAAGCTAAATACATCTTGAGCACATATCTGTATATAGAAAACTGTAATATATTATCTTTATAGAAAATAGTGCCAAATGAAATCCAAATAAAAAAATATCAATGTTCCGCATGATGAATGTTAGTATAGTATTGGTTTGAGTGTAGATTTTTTTTTAGCTAGAAGAAAGATCCCTGCTGATTATCTGCAAAGCTATTCAATTCTCAGATGATCTGCTAAACTAATTGATTAGATTAATATTTCCTCAGTCCTAAATAATTAATTCTGTCTTATTACCTAGAATCTTCCTGTTAGTCAGCAACCAGAAGTGTTTGGGCTCCATGATAATGTAGATATATCAAAGGATCTCCAGCAAACAAAAATCACTTTTGAATCCCTTCTTCTGACACAAGGAGGAACCAATCAAGGAGGGTCTAAAAGTGGTGGAGACAGCACTTTATATGAAATTGCAGATGATATCCTTAGCAAGGTAATATGAACTGAAATAAAATATACTATAACTGCTTCAGAATTATTTTTCTGCTGTTAGTCTAATCTAGTTAATCTAATCTATATTGTTTAAAGTTCTCAATTATTAAAGTGTAAAAACTTCATACTGACAAAAGAAGATACATATTGTGAAAGCTATAATTTTGCCAGTTGCAACATGTTCTGAACATTGAATGATCAGAAAGAATAAATGAAGAAAAAATGCTTTTGAATTAAAGTGCTGCAGAAAATTGTTAAGAACACCATGAACTGATCATTCAATAGATAAAGCAAAGCCAGATTGTTCCCTTGAAGCCCAAGTAATGAAGCTAGAAGATTTGTACACATGATGTAAAAGCAAAAATCAATAGAGCAGACCGTGATGCTTGAAAAAATCAAAAGCAGGCAAAAAAGAAGCTGTCAGAAGGTAAATTGATTGGCATTATCTCTAACGCCAGAATGAGCTTACAAAAACTCAGCAAAATTACTGACATGCAATCAAGGAGAGGGAATATTTTTCCAGATCACAAAAAATGTCAGAAGCAACTGAACAAACAAAAGGCAGATTTTACACAGGAGGAGGAGATCCAAAGCCCAGAATGATAGAATTTAGTGCAACTTTATGAGCATGCTGAAAGAAACAAATACATTGGCTCCACACCCATTTGCACTACTCAGATGACCCTGACGACACAGATAAACCTCCAGGTGGCCTCAGCAACTCTCTGAAAGAATGCAAATGATCAGCTGTCTGCAAGGAATATAAATCCTTCCATTCCCCCACCATCCAGTCAGAGCTGAAGAAGCATTTAATCATAAATGTTATTGCAGTTGGAACATATTTGCTGTAACTCAAAATACAAACAGTTGAATTTCAATGCCAAATTCCATCATATTCAAATAAATAAAACACAACAACCCAAACAGAAAAAAATCAATAATCTCTTTTTATGAGACAAAGAGCTAACATAGCAGTGTTCCAATATCTCAGGGATTGCCACAAAGAAGACAGGGTCAAGCTATTCTCCAAAGCACCTAAGGGCAGGACAAGAAGCAACGGATGGAAACTAAGCAAAGAGAGAAGCAACCTAGAACCAAGGAGAAACTTCCTGACAGTTAGAGCAATTAACCAGTGGAACAACCTGCCTCCAGAAGCGGTGAATGCTCCAACACTGGAGGTTTTTAAGAAGAGACTGGACAGCCATTTGTCTGAAATGGTATAGGTTTTCCTGCCAGAGCAGGGGGTTGGACTAGATGACCTCCAACATCCCTTCCAACTTTATTATTATTATTATTATTGTTGTTGTTGTCGTTGTTGATATTGGAGATGTGAATTAGGAATCTGTAATCTGGCTTGTAGACTCCATCCACAACAATGTTGTTAAAAAAAATACTGATTTCCCTAATTTTAATTTAATGGGGGGGGGGAGAAAGAAAATAATTTCATGTGATTTTGTTGAAAGATATTCACTTCCTTAATTGATCTTCACATGCTCTCACTGGAATAATAATTGTGCTATATAGAATTTGTGTGATAGCAATTGGAATTTTTCAATAGAAATTTGAATTCTTTTTATTTGCCATATCTTGATTTATTATGGTCATATAAATACAGTCATAAAACAAATTTACATTTATCAGAATTAAAATAAGTATATCAACCTTTCTAGCTTCCGAACGATTATGATATTGAGGCAGCCCTTATTAAATATCCTGTGAGATATGAAGAAAGTATGAATACGGTTCTGGTGCAAGAAATGGAACGTTTTAACAAGTAAGGTCTTTGTTTTCTTCATATTTTTATATGTGCACATGGATTATATATATTATATTAAATCTCCTAATCCTACAGTAAAAACTGTTATGTTACAAATAAGTTTTAAAGCTGTCATAAAATAACAGTATCATTTTTATTAGAGAATAGAGAAGTACAGTACAATCATTTGTACATGTAATTATTTGTAGCATATATAAAAATTGCAACTTGAATTATGTGTCTACATTTTTTGTACATTTAGTTTAATAAGAACCATACGCACAACTTTGGTAAATTTGAAGAAAGCGATTAAAGGATTGGTTGTGATGGATTCTGAATTAGAGGCCCTTTGCGCCAGTCTTCTTATTGGAAAAGTTGCAGAAAACTGGGCTAAACGTTCATACCCAAGTCTAAAACCACTGGGAAGCTATATTCTAGACTTTCTAGCTAGATTGAAATTCTTACAGGTAAAGCAACAAGCATATAATTGATTATTTTATTATTGTGAAATAATTTGCTATGGTTATTAATAATTTGCCAATAGGTTTTATATAAAATATGGTTCTAAACCAAGATTATTCTTCTATTTCTTTTCCAAGGATTGGTATGATTCTGGAAAACCATGTGTGTTTTGGCTCTCAGGATTCTTTTTCACACAAGCATTTTTAACTGGAGGAATGCAGAATTATGCTAGGAAGTACACTATTCCTATTGATCTCCTGGGATATGAGTTTCAGGTAAAATTAAGTGGCAAAGGCTGAATTTTACAGATTACTGTCATGGTTCCAATAGATGAAACTGTTAAAAGAACTTCAAGGCAAGAATTCTTCCTTAAAGAACATTTTATTAGGAAACAAAATATTGGCACTTACATAGTTGGACCCAAAACTGGGATTCCCTTCCCCCAGATACAAAGTAACAAGTTGCAATTCCCACCCTAAAGATGCTGTTATAAATCACATTCCCCAATTAACCGCAAAAACTTGGGCTTTTCTCACTGACTCCTCAGCCTACCAAAACCTTATCAGACCATGTCCTTGAGTTCCCACATTTCTACAAACTAAACTCTGAAGCATTTACCCCATCCTCCCCATCTGAACTCTAAAAGAAGAGAAAAGGCACATTAGAAGCAAAAGTAAAAGTGGCTGCTGATTCTCAGTTGTCATAGCAATGACATCCATTGTCATAGCATTGACAATTACATAAGAATTTGCAAAATCTGCAAAGTGTATTGGTACATAACTGTTAATTCATATGTGTACCTATTTTGATTCCTCAGTGTTTCAAAGTAGATGAAAGCAGAAACAGATACTACAGTATATACTGGCATCCTACTTTATCGTCATCATAATGGAATATAAAGCTAAGAGGAAGAAGGCAGGCCGATCTTAATTGCCTTTTACTCCATCCTGTCTTTCCAGAGCAATCTAATTTTTTTTGTAATACCTGCTGCATATTGTATTTAAATACAGAGATAGCCTTAGAGAAGGTACACAACATCTATTAGGAAAACATAAATGGAGCTTGGAAAAACAGGAAGAAGTGAGGAAAAAATATGCAGGAAATCATACAGCTCAGTTCCTCTTAAAGGAATGGCTATAGTTAAAGTTGCAGTCAGGTGGGCCATAAACACACAAGCAAGCAGATGCCAAGGTTGTGGTGGAGAACTTGATGTAGCTTTTTATCTTCTGCTCAGTCATTCAAAAAATTTGAAGATTATTGTTTCCTTCCCAGATACTGGTAGTTCTTGCTTAAAGATCCTAACTGAGATCAGAATTTTGGTAATTAAACAAAGTAGTCATTAGGTGAAATATCAAGTGACTGAATTGTTTAGCAATGGCAGTTCCAGTAATCCTAGTGATTGTCATTAAGCCAGGATCACACCATTGTTAGGCCAGGAGCTCGTGCTTCTGTTGCCCTGCTGTGCTCACCTCAGCTCCCCCACTATCACTGCCTTTCTGGTTGCCTTGCATTCTGTCATCCCTGCCACTCTGTCTTCTGCTAGCTGGAGCCCAAGTAGGTATCTCTCATGTTCTTCTTGATTGGAGCTTTCGTTAGGTGGTGTTGACTGCCATGTATCAGCTTTTGCCATTTTGTACTGCTTCAGAGACATCTAGTTTGCCATTTTCCTCACCTGGAACTCTCCCATTTTAATAGCAATCTAACTTAATTAGTGAAGACCTAGGAGCAATTAAGACACTATTCATTGTTATATATGTGCAGTTGCTTTGATCCAAAGTGGGAATGAAGTTTAGAACCCAACAACAGCATGCTTGCTGTATGTGTTAGAAGCTTGTTAAAGGAGCCATGAATTTTCCTACAATTGGATAGTAATCACTTAGGATGCACTTCATCCAAGGCACTGTTTCTTTAGGGAGCTGGTGACAAGCAAAATAAGAATACCTGTGCCATGTCAAAAGAAACACTTTTCCTGCTTTGGATCCAAGTAGCTGCATATCCCTATTCATTATTAATTTAGCCACACTCAACAGAAATCAAGGTCTGGATGGAACAAAGAAGAAATTTAAAAGAGTAATCTCTAAATCAGTGGTTCTCAACCTTTTTAATGCCGTGACCCCCAACCGGTCGTAAGTCGAGGACTACTCAACGGGTCGTAAGTCGAGGACTACTCAACTGGTGCAGCACCGTTTGCAGAATGGGACTTTTGGCGGGCTCAGCAGGGCAGAGACAGCCTGGACAACTCCTATTGGCTTTTGAAAGCCAATAGAATAAAAGGGAGTAGCACAGCTAAGGAAAAGGGGAAAAAATGGCGGAAAAAATGGCGGACTGCGTTGTTTGGCGACCCCCGTGAAATGGTCGTTCGACCCCAAATGGGGTCCCGACCCACAGGTTGAGAACCACTGCTCTAAATACAGTACTTCCTCTGTTCATATTGGAAAAGCTAGTGCTAAAATTATATTTCATTGCCAAAAAGGTCACCATATTTCCAATGAACAAATGATTGTAACATGAAAGCAATAATTTATTGTTTTCATTTTGTTCAGGTTATTCCAAGGGATACTTCAAATACTGCTCCAGAAGATGGTGTTTACATCAATGGGCTATTTTTAGATGGAGCTCGCTGGGATAGAGCAAAGTTAGTAGTAAATGTGTATGGCATATACAGTGTTAAAATTGCTTCTCCACCTTTTCTTGAATACTAATTTTCAATGTATTTTTGCAACTTGACATCTTACATTCCCTTTTCCTAGCAAAATCAATAGGAGTAAAAACAGGGCCATCACACTGAGATGCAAAGTGCTAGACAACCACCAACTGGCATGATGCAGAAAACCTGAACTATTTGTTGCCAAACTATTTGTTTGGGGTGACCTGGATGTTTGCAACAGAGATATGGCAATGCATTAAATTGTTTTATAAAAATTGTGAGATTATAATATATACTATAGGTTTAAAAGCAAATTTATCTTTAAAATATGGGAATAGTAGTAAATTTTCCCAATAATAGTACACTTTTTACCTCTTCACAACTAATAGGAAGACATTCTTCTGCACTCCCATCTTCTAACATCTGGATGATCTGTCTATTAATATTTGCTCAGATCATTGCCCTTCACTGAATTGAATAGAAAATGGCATTCACAAGTAACTTCACAAACATAACCACTCTGTGCTGAAGCACTAATTCTTAATTTATGGTGAAAGATTAGATTTATGACTGGAGTAGCTATATTTTTCTTCTTTTTCCTAAATACGTTATATTACATAAAATTTCATTTTTAAAAACTGAATTATTGTAGTTTTCCACAGTTGTTTTTTTTTTTTTTTCACCAGAGGGCTCCTAGGTGAACAACATCCCAAAATCCTCTTTGACACGATGCCTATTATTTGGATAAAACCAGGTAAGTGAATCTTTGTCAAATAGTTATTTGGAAATGTTCAGTCGGACGCAATTAGGCAGTGGAAACCTTTATCTTTATTTTTAATATATTGCATATAAGGTCATTGACTATTGCAAGAAATCTACTTTGTAACATTACATCAAGATTCTACACAAGGATTCATTGATCTGAATATTTATCATTATTTTAAAAAACAAACCTTAAATGTCGGCATGATTGACATTTATTTCTAGGTACTAGTTTAATGTATTACTTTGACTTCTAAAGCCCTAAATCACTTTGGACCAGATATTTCCTCCCATAAAAACCTATCCAATCTCAGATGTTCTTCAGAAGGCATTATATTTATTTAAAGCATTTAACAATTAAAATTCATCCTTTTGGGTGGCTCCAGTTAATTCAGTCTGTATCTCTGGAAGTGCTCACATAGCATTGCTACTGAACTTTAGCCACTAAATCAAGGCATTTTCCTATTCCCCTTTTTATGTTAGTATTTGTCTGTTAGAACTTAACCATTTTTAATTATAATTTTATTTTATTCTCAAACTGCTATTGTCAAAGTGGGATGTTTTAAACATGAAAATAAAGGAATCCCATCATACTCAATATAAGATGTCAGAGAGAAGGATAAGTAAGAAGTTAATCCCTAATATTTCACTTATATTCCTATGTTTAATTGCCCACCTCAAGAGATGCGATGTGTGTGGTTGTTTCCCTCCAGTTTTACTCCATCTTGCTGCAATGCAGTTTGTAAACTGTTTGTAGGCATTCAGTATTTTTGTTTAGTGGTATGCATTATTCTCAGTTATTTCACCTTACATAATTTTTCCCTTGCAGCCAAAAAATCAGAGATTAAGAAATCAAATGCATATGTGTGTCCATTGTATAAGACAAGTGAACGCAAAGGAGTCCTTTCAACAACTGGGCATTCAACTAACTTTGTCATTGCAATGAAGTTGCTAACTGACCAGCCAGTCCAGCATTGGATCAAGCGAGGAGTTGCTCTACTTTGTCAGCTGGATGACTAATTATATAGAACTCAACCAGAGGAGACTAAATACTCCATGTTCATATCTTTGCCTAGAACAAAGGACTTGCTAAATATTTTGATCATTCAGACTTTGAAACTGGTTACAATCTTTTACCATGTTTATTGATGTTTTTTCTTCTGTTCTTTTGTAAGAAAAGTGTTCAGTATGAAAAATGTCTTATTTGGTCCATCATAATTCATTTAGAAGTTGTTGAATAATAACTTCCCTTTTGCTCAAAAATGTTGTTGCTTCCTTTCAACTCTTAACATTTGAATATCTAAAACATTTGATTGAGTCTGTGTTGATTTCTATTTCCTGGACAACTTTTCCACTTTTTTTGAGAGAGACTCTGGAAGGTGGGTTAGATTAAAATTGTTAACCCTCATCTCCTGCTGGAAAGAATATCCTCGGTGGACTATTCTTTCTGCATTCTTTGTGTGTATGTTTTTTAAAAAATATAAAAGCATTTCACTTTACTACTAATATGTGGATGGCACATATCTTTAACCCAGAGTAGCTGGAATTAGTTCTTGATCATATTGTGGAAAGTGTTGCTGTGATAGCATAATTGATAATATGTGTTATGCCATGGTTCCAATAGATGAGACCGGTAAAACAGAACTCCAAGACAAAAGGTTTCCTTAAAGAACATATTTATTTGGCTAGGTAGTATTGGCACAATCAAAAGTGAAACCAAGACTGAAGTTCCCTCCCAAAGGTTACAATGTTACAAAGGTGAACTTCCCATCCCAGTAATATGTCATAAATCACATTCCCCAATTAACTATTTGAGCGGCCTTTCTAATGGAAGCTTCAGCCAGTCAAAATGCAATCAGCAATGACCTTGGTTCCCACAGAACAATTTATTATTTTGACTAAGCTAAAAAATACTCATCCCCCCTCCCAATTCCATGGCAACCAAAAATGAAGGGAAAATGGTTTGCAGTGTTGACATGTTGTGTGTTATGGTATCATTACAATCTAAAAATAACAGAAAAAGCAAGAAGTCAATTTTTATTTATGAATTGATTTAGCACAGTAGCCTTGTTTTTGCAACATGCATAACTGGAGTGCAGGGACAGAGTAGAATTATTTAATGGAAAATAAACTTGCCCTTTCAAGTTCTGTGATTGAGAGAATATCCCAGGTTCCCTGAAAAATTGCTGCTTTCTTAACACTTCTTCTCTGATTCAAGTGCACCTCCTATTTATAAAGTAATGGCTTCTAGTACCAGAGATGTATATCTGGTTTGCATAGTTTTGGTCAATACCTGGATTCTGTTGTTGCAAATAGGCTATTTGGTTTCTGATACGATGTGTATGATATCTGCTAACATTAGAACTGAACTCTCTCCCCAAAATAAGTTCATATGCAGCTCTAACAAATTGTTACAGGGTATTTGGTAGGTTACTATATGTATAACAAGAATGGAAAATAGCTCTTTTCTTTGGGATTGAATCGAATCCACTATCTCATACAGTGGGGTGAATGAAGTTCTTCTGTTAAAATTCTTAACTTCCTAACCTGACATCTCTACCAGAAGACACTCAGAGTAAAAAATATAGTTGTCCTTGATACAAAAGGACAATAATTAGTGATGAAATAACTATTGTCAAGAGCCAGCTATTGAAGACAAAAGACTAGAAGAAAAGCTCCAGCTAACATATCTTCTCCCAGGAATTAGAGAAATTATGCTAAGAAAATGAAGATTTTTTTTTTAAAAAACCCCATTGTTTTATCATAAAAGGCAATGAAAAGTAATTTTAATACTATTCTATCCAAGACTCTATATGCTCAATCTGATACATACATTGAGACAATGGTATATGTTCTTCTAAGAATTCTACTATAGTGTATATAATACAAAGTTAATGTTTTTCATATGATGGATTTCAATGACAGAATTAAATAAAGTTGAGCATTTTAACTAGCATTGTTTTCAGATTTTCCAAATTAAAATCAATTATATTGAGATATATTTTCATCTGGCTGCATCATATCCTTCAGTGGACTGTTGAATACCCCAAAGCCCAGGATACTGGCAGATTGTCATGGAGAAAATTAATCTGTATGGTTGCTAAGAGAGTAAACATTGATTTCATGACTCATAATGAATGAATCAATCGATCGATCGACATTCTTCATGTTTTTCTACATATGACTAGTTATCTGCTATTAAATAATTTCTCAGGTTCTTGCTGCTGCTTTAATTATATGCCATGCATTTAGGAATTTTCTGAAACAATTAAATTTTGCTAACAGTTATTACAAACTGATTTTAAAATGCCTGTTCTAAGGATATTTTTTGTTATTATACAGGTGGTTCATTTTCTGACCCTCATTTACTCCATATGTCTTGTCTGCAAGAGAAAACGTCTTATGGTGAGATATTTATAGTGAGTTATTAATGGTTGCAATGATGCAACAAGCCCAGGATCATTTTTCAATACATCAAACATCACATTTGGTTTTGATACTTACTCAGAGTGAGTGATCTGTGTTTCAAATGTTGGAGAAAGGTGAGGAAAATGTGTCTTGTCATTATAAAAAGTCAGTTCTCCCAATAGCTTAACTTCCTAAGCTGTTTTTAAATAATAAAAGTTAAGTGTTGGCATTCCTGGAATGTTGTTTTTGATTATTCCAGGAGTAACACAAATCTGTGTGCGTGTTTACATGTTTTGCTTTTTATGTGTTAGCATTCCAAAGAGAAAAAGGATTTTGTGATTTTCCTGTATCCTGTAAACTTTACTTAATAATTTTAACACTTTTTCAATATTTATGCATTTATTTTGAAACAGCCAAATGAAAATATATCTCAATACGATTGATTTTAATGGGGAAAATAACTGAAAACAATGCTAGTTAAAATGCTCAGCTTTGACTTAATTCTATCATTAATTCTGTTATTATGGTGCAAGCCATTTTTAATGTACAACAGAGAGTGTTTCCTGAACAGTAATAGACTATTAAATCAAATGCTAGTGATTTTTTACAAGGAAACATCTGCATTGCAGATGATATTCCTTGTTTGTTAATAAAGTCCAGATGTTCTGCATCTCTTTCCATTCAGTCTGAACAGCTTTCAGCTGAACTGTTTTGCTTTTTAATGTACATGACCCAGCAGTTTCTTGACACATGCAGCAAATCTGAGCAGAGTGAGGAAGGGCATTGCAAAAGAAATCTGTAGGAAAATGTTGAGCTTAGCAAGGCTGGGGGCAGTAAAGATAGGAGAACAAAGCATGAGGAAGATTTGAGCCCTCAAATGCTGGGTTCCTTGGCACAGGTATGTGCTTAGAAAGAGGAGCAAAAACAAGTTAAACTGATAACCTGATCTGCTCAGTGTGAACCTGATGGTCCTGCTGTCTGTCAAGTTAATGCTCAAAAACAGATTGAGACAGAACGTTATTTCGTTTATCATTACATATTTCTATATCTCTGGCTTCTGATATTTCTAGAAGATGCAACATAGCATTTAACCCCACCTCATTTGGAAATTTAAGATACCGTATTTTCCGGGGTATAAGATGACTTTCTAAAGCGTGGAAATCGGTGCCGAAGTCAGGGGTTGTCTTATACGCTGAATTGTCTTATACGCCGGAAATTACGGTAGTTTCCGGCGTATAAGACGACTTTCTAGGCATAGAAATCGGTGCCGAAGTCGGGGATCATCTTATACGCCGAGTCGCCTTATACGCTGAAAAATACGGTATGTAGTTTTAACCTGTATGATACTACAGAAATGCCTGATGAGGAAGCTGAGGATGATATCCCTATGCAGCTTGTCATTCAGCAAAGCCTGCATGACATACTCGGGAGCAAGACGGTGACAACCCCAAAGAGTGACAGGTATGCACTGCCTTTGATATATTGTTTCTAGGATCTGTTAAAATATTTCTTGCAACAGAATCTATATAATTTTGAAACACAGTTTCACAGAATGCTGTGCAATTGTTCATAGAATATTGTTACAAGCATGGGGATTTCCATATGTTGTGTGTTTATGTGATAAATTTTGTATCTTTAGGACGAGGCATGTTTTTATTTATAAATGTGGCTAGTATCCATTTAATATGAAAAATCTCTCCCCCCCCAAAAAAAGATTGTATATAAAGAGATAAATGTATAAATTATAAAGTAACTATTTTATTTTATTTTTCAATATAATGCCAATTACAATGTTTTTAACTTTGCATGTTCTGTTTTTGCTTTTAATGTTTTATTAAAGTAGACTATTAATCTTCTTCTGCCTCCCTCTAAAGAAGGATAGGCAGCAGCTTACAATTGGGGATAAACTTCCTACTCAATTGCAGAATACCCCAGGAGCTTACTCACCAGGTGTATAGGACCTGGTTTTTCCTGTATGAAACACCAATATATTAAATATACAAATTAAACATTTTCTCTTTTTTTTCACCATTTTTGCAGTCTGAAATTCAGTATGATATGAGAATATTTGACTTTTTTTAATGCTATTGCATTCTGTTTGCAGCTTTTGTTTCGCAACAAGTCCAGATTACAGAAAGATCATCGCTGCCATTCGGACAGTTAAGTAATCAGTTCAATTTTCTTGAGAATTACTAAAAATACACAAATGATCTCAGTTAGTTGATCTCAACCCTCATGTATGTAGGAATTAAAAGTAGCACTTGCAGGTGTAAGGCAGCCTTTTATTATTTTAACAAGAATTTGTTATTTATTACTAAAACAAAGTGGTCTTTGAGTTCAAAGAACATAAATTGTAGATCTTTCATACTCATCATAGGTGAAGAAGAGTCTTTACTTAAGTTGATGAGGAATGGATCTGCTTTTCAGGAAGTAGACTCCCAAGGTTGGCTTCCTCTTCATGAAGCAGCAGTCCAACCAAACAAGACTATTCTAGAAATTACTCTGAAAGGTAATGTTCCTTTGAGGACTATGTGTCAATTTATATATTAACTTATGAATTCAAACAAAGCTCTCTCTTTCAGCTTCACATCCTACTGTCTGGCAACAGACCAGCCTGAAAGGAGAAACTCCTCTGTTTCTGGCTGTGGACAAATGTCTTGTGAAAAATGTCAATGTTCTGCTAATCAATGGGTTTGATCCAGATACCAGGAATGAAGAAGGAGATTCTGCTTTAATTATTGGTAAACCAAATTATATTATTTGTCTGATAATATTTAAACATTCCCAGTTATAAAATAATGATAGCTTGTATTGATTGAAAGGGATTTTTCATGCCAAATTTAAGTATATAGTTGCCTATTTCTATGACATGCAGGTGGCAAGAATAAATTTTCATTTTTCTCCATTGTTTTCATTTGCTACTTCCACCCCAAGCTTTATTTAGGTCCTAGACTCAAATCGTATCTGGTCAATCTAGCTTTGAGTTCTAGAAAAATTCGTATACATTTATAATGTCCAGCATGGTTGGAACTTTTCTCGCTCCTCATATTCCTTCAATCCCCCACCTCACCCCCTATCTGAGTACTATTGCCCACTTCACATGGTAACCGGCTAATATTTTTAGAACCATCCTTTGTTGTATCTTTTTAGAGGTCTGAGGGGTCCTTGATGCTCTCTTAGGTTGGTTGTTTTCTTGTAAATGCTTCATTACCCAAATTAGGTAACATCATCATCATCACTAGTCTATAATGAAATGTCTGTAAGAAAACAACCAAGCTCAGAAAGCACCAAGAGCCCTCATTTCAACTCTGAGCTACAAATATTCTTCTTAGAGGTCTTTATTCTGTTGTTGTTTTACATGTGGCATAATTTCCAAAAATAAACTCTTCTGCCTTTATGGCCTGCATCAAGTTGCCCTCCATCTTTATTCAGCTCCATTCATATTTTCAAACAAATCTTTGTCATACAAATCAACATCTATGATAGTTACATAGTAAGACCAGTAATTATATGGTCACAGTAGTATTAACAGTGCAATTATCTTCTCTTGGGTAGTGCTATGTTTCTAAACCAAATAGGATTTCTAATATTCTCATTAAATCCCATTTATTTTGAATGGGCTTCTCTTCCTACTATGAAAGGCTTTCTCTGTGGCTTTCTTGATGAGGAACCAGGGGCTGCAAAAGAAAATCTTGATAGCCTCTGCAACTTATCTCAAAGATCAGCATTGTAATAAGGCAAGGATGAGAAATTTGTGGACCTCCTGATGAAGTTGGACTACTACCCCTATCATTTCTTAATAATAGTAGTGCTGGCTAGACATCACAGGGTCTTGTCCATCCCTATTTTGTCCCTATTATATGATACCAGGATGTCCAGTTGATGAGTCTGTCCTGTTTGTTGGGACCCAAACACATTGCTTCTCTACTTGAGAAGATTTTTTTGCTTAGGGGTACCACAAGATTCCGTCTTAGGCCCAGTACTCTTCAATATCTTCGTCAATGACTTAGACGAGGGAATTGAAGGGGAACTCATCAAATTTGCAGATGACACTAAACTGGCAGAAGTATCCAACACCCCAGAAGACCAACTCAGGATCCAAAAAGACCTTGACAAACTTGAAGAATGGGCCCTATCCAACAAAATGAGTTTCAATGTGGAAAAAAGCAAAGTTTTATATTTAGGAGGAAAAATGAAAGGTACAAGTACAGATTAGGCAAGACCTGGCTTAAAAACAGCAACTGTGAGAGGGACCTTGGAGTCTTAGTGGACAATCACTTGACTATGAGCCAACAGTGTGCAGCAGCAGCCAAAAAAGCTAATACAATCCTGGGTTGTATAAACAAAGGCATAGAATCAAGATCGCGCGAAGTATTAGTACTTCTTTATAAAACCCTAGTAAGACCACACCTGGAATACTGCAGCCAATTTTGGTCACCATATCACAAAAAAGATCTTGAGAATTTGGAAAAAATTCAGAGAAGAGCAACTAAGATGATCAAAGGCCTGGAGACTAAAACATATGAAGAATGGCTGCAGGACTTGGGTTTGGCTAGTCCAGGGTTCTGCAACCTTAAACATTCAAAGAAACACTTGGACCCGTTTCCCAGAGAAAAGAAAACACTGGGAGCTGCAAAACTTGTGTGCGCATGCGAGGGGTGGAGAGCTTGTTTGAAGAGTTTAATTAAAAAGAAATAGAGGCTGCTGTGCATGAGTTTTCTCTCTCTTTCCTCTCTCCCTCTCTCTTTCTCTCTTTCCTCTCTCTCTCTCTCTTTCCTCTCTCCCTCTCTCTTTCTCTCTTTCCTCTTTCCCTCTCTCTTTCCTCTTTTTCTTTCTCTCTTTCCTCTTTCTCCCTCCCTCTCTCTCTCTCTCTCTTTCCTCTCCCTCCCTCTCCCTCTCTCCGATCTTCTGCTCACCTGGCAAGCTGGCTTCAGGCTGTTCTCCAACAAGCTGACACAAATTCTTATTCGTCTGGCTCTTTCCTGCCCTTCCTGCTTCCTGCAGAGACACAGCAAAGGGAGGAGCCCCGCCCAATAAGTTTGTCAACTCGTCGGAGAATGTGAGGCATTCTCTTTTTTACACACACACACACACACACACACAGAGAGAGAGAGAGAGAGAGAGAGAGAAGGGAAGCGCAAGTGCCTGTCTCTGTCTCTCTTTCTGCAAATGGCAGAGGAGGTTGGGAGCTGCAGGAGAAGGCTCAAAGAGCCACATGCGGCTCCAGAACTGCGGGTTGCCGACCTGTGGGCTAGTCTAAAGAAAAGAAGAAATAGGAATGTTCCAGGATCTGAGGGGCTGCCACAAGGCAGAGGGGGCCAGGTTGTTCACCAAAGCACCAGAGGGAAGGATGAGAAACAATGGTTGGAAACTGAACAAAGAGAGAAGCAACCTGGAATTAAGGAGAAACTTCCTGACAGTGAAGACAGTCAACCAGTGGAACAGCTTGCCTCCAGAAATTGTGGGCACTCCATTACTAGAGATTTTCAAGAGGAGGCTAGACAATCATTTGTCTGAGATGGTATAGGTTCTCCTACTTGAGGGGCTGGGCTAGAAGATCTCCAAGGTCCCTTCCAGTTCTATTCTATTCTATAATCCAAAAAAGACATTTTTTTCTAAATGTGAATGAAGAACAGCATTGTAAAATGTTTATCTCTTCTTTTTTAAAAACTGAAGTTATATTTTAAAGTTTAGCACTTCATTTTACTCTGTCTTTTAATTATACAGTATACAAATGACATGTGAGACTACTAAACAACGGTTTAGTCTCATATGCTCAGTGGAGATTGAATAGTTTAATAACTGAGAGTTAAATGAAATTTTCAAATGCTGCTCTTTCATATTTTAATATTTTACAGCTATTGAACGTGAATCATATGAAATTGCTTCCTTATTGATACAATTTGGTGCCAATACCAATCTACAGTGTATCAACAATAGGACAGCTTTACATGAGGCAGCCAGATTAGGCTTGAAAGACATGGTGGAATTACTACTTTGGTCCAAAGCAGATGCAGATCCACGAAGTTCTTATGGGCTCACCCCTCTAGCGTTGGCAGCACAGAATGGGCATACAGAAATTCTCGAACTCCTACTGTGTAAAGGTGAGAGGTTCTGTATAAAACCTTCTGTGTTAAATACACACTAATTGGGAGGAAGAAGGTAGTTGCTAGAATGCACAGCTTAATGGTTGTTCCAGGATATGAATGGTTGAAACAGCCTTCTATAAAATGTGCTAAATTTATTAATTATGGTGAATAGCTGTTCCAAGTGTATTGATGTATGTTTTCTCTGTTGATTGTGGGGATGCTCAGATGAAAACAGTCACTCTTTGCAGGTCAGGCATCATTTCTGATAGTCCGTATATAGTCAGAGACAGACATTGTAGACATGGTTAACATTTTCAAAACATAATTAGTCAAATAAAATTGTGATAGTTTCAGTATTTGAGACAATAAGATGGCCTGAGTAATCTGACTTGTATATTTTGAAAACTAAATTGAAGATGTTTGGTTGGGGCTCCTGGGATGTGTCCATGCAGATAGGAGTCTTATATGTTTTTAGAAAATTACTTCATTAGAATATACATTTTTCTCTGATATATTGTTTTGGGATCTGAGGAAAGAAGCTAGTAGAGTGTTGGACTGTGGTTTCTCAGCTGCTTTGGTCTATCTTAGTCATGATGTCAACTGTATTTCAGTTTGTATGATTATATGTTAAGGCACATACAATATGCCAACATCTTTATAGCTGACCTACACTTTTTTATTCACACCCCTGAGTCCCCTCTTTTACATGACAGCTATTGACATTTTAATCATCAGGATTTATGGAAGTGAATATCTCATATTCAATCATAATTTCAACTTCCATCCCACCATCAACCTCACCTAGACCTATCTACAGAACAATTCTATTTCCTTGGTATCAACAAACTACACAATGTAGTAATTTTATGTTAATATAAACCAAACACATAAACACCATATTATTTTTGATTGATTATTAAAAGCTTACTGCTGTTTTCCCAATAGGTGCCAATGTCCTTTCCCAAGCATCAGATTCTGCATCTATATTATTTGAGGCTGCTGGAGGAGGAAACCCAGATTCCATCTCTCTCCTACTAGAATATGGTGCTGATGCCAATGTACCAAAGCAGTCTGGTCATCTTCCTATCCATAGAGCTGCTTATAGAGGCCATTTCTTGTGAGTTAGAACATACTAATTCCATTTATGGAACGGGGGGGGGGGAGAGAGGAGGGAAAGTAATCTATTCTACTGTGTGGTTTAACATATCTCTGATGAGAGAAATGTTTCTTTACTATTTGTCAAATCCTGAGTTATTAGGTAGAAAAGATAAGTCTTCTTCATCTTAAAAAAATTATGTAGAAAAAGCCTGTAACTTTCTATGCACTGTTCAGCTGCTGTCATTGTCTTTTCTACACATCTGTGAAAGAAAGTCCATTCTCTTTGGCATTTCACTGTCCTAGTCCTGTGACACAAAAATATTTGCAGAAGTCAGGCCAATCAATAGTTTTTTGGTATCTATTTGACATTATCACAAGTAACATACATTCTTTATGTTTTACGTGAATATGAATATTCTGTTGGTATTAGAACAGTCAACACTTCCACAGCTAAGCTTGTGAGTATAGAAGAATATAGATCTGAATAGACCGGATCAATACTATTTTGTTTCTTTTGGACTGCCCTTACTGTAGCACCTTAAGGAATTTATTCTTCTTTATAAAATTACTTGAAATAATCAGCTTGCATATGTCTTTCTCCCTTTCGTCTCCCATTTTATTATTTGCTGGGGTAGTTTTTTTTAGTTTTTCCCCACTGAAATTGTCATTTTATATGCATTTTATTCAGTGGCTAAAATGTTGATAGTTGATGGAAACTCTTCTATTATAGAAGCTTTACAGTTCATGCCTATTTATGGTGATCTCATTGCCTGCACTGGTAGGAACAATTGAGATAGTATTGAAAGACCTTTTTTTTTAAAGAATGTTTATCCTTATCTTATTGCTAGGGCATTGCAGATTTTGATTCCAGTCACAGATTTCAGTGTCATAAAGGAGAGTGGAATCAGCCCACTTCACTCGGCGGCAGCAGGAAGACATTCTCAGTGTCTTGAATTTCTACTCAGATCTGGATTTGAGGCTAATTTTATGTTGGATCGAAGAATTCAGAAAAGCTACGATGATGAGAGGAAGTCAGCACTGTATTTTGCTGTATCTAATGGGGATATTGAGTCCGCACATTTGCTCCTGGATGCTGGAGCCCTACCAAATCAAGACCCTGTTAATTGCCTCCAAGTGGCCTTGAGAATGGGTAACTATGAACTCATCAGTCTCCTGCTTAGCCATGGAGCCAACGTGAATTACTTTTGTAGAGTCAATACAACCCATTTTCCATCGGCTCTGCAGTACACACTGAAAGATGAAGTCCTGTTAAGGATGTTGTTGAATTATGGATACAATGTTTCCCGCTGTTTTGATTGTCCTCATGGAGACAGCAAGCATTCCAAGTACTTATTTGAAGGGTGGACCTCAACTGTTATCAAAGACACAATGGTAAGTACTTCCTGGGGGAGATTAATCCTTCTTTTATAAGCTGATTAGTACTTAGAAATTGCTTATGTTTTAAGGGATGGTAGGATTTGTTTGGTTTTCCAAACTGAAAATGATCAAAATCTTTAGAAATGCATTGAGTTGAAACACTCTATAGAATAAATGGCAAGCATTTGGTTATTTCAAAGGTGTCTGGTATTTTTGTGAAATTATATTCAATGTATGCTTATTTTGCTTTGTTTTGCTGGTGATGTAGTATCAAAAATGCATCATGCACTTTATAATATAAGGCATTAAATTCTGCATTCTCATGTTCTTGTTTTTTCTCTCAGTTCTGTGAAGTGATTACACTATCATGGCTAAGGCACCTGTCTGGGAAGGTAGTGCGAGTGATGCTAGATTATGTAGATCATATTAGAATATGCTCTAAACTTCAGGATACTCTTCAAGAACAAAAACTGTGGCCAGAAATCCATGCAATTTTGAGTAAGTGTTAAAGTTATCAGAATGTAAAGATGACTGACACAGTGTGCTATAGTTTTTCAAACTGATTGATCTATTCATTATGAGCCATCAAGTCAATTTCAACTCCTAGTGATCACATAGATTTTTCTCCATGACAATCTGTCCCTGATCTGATCTTTCAAGTCTTCCAACCTTTACTTACTGCCAGTATAAGTGAGTCCATCCATCCTGCATAATTTTTGAATTAGTAACTGTATTATTGGTAAATATAATTTAAAATAATTTGAATTATTGGAGGAATAATTTATATGTTGTATTTTGACAATCTCTCCCTATTACTAAATATGACTGATTTTTTTAATATTTCACTTGAAGCAAAGATCACACTAAATATAATCTAATACCCAGCATAAAAAATCTTTACACAGAGCAAGCTCTTTAATTACTAATTATTAGTGATTTAGTAATTAGTACTTTCTTCTATGCCTCAGCATTGAAAGTTCATGTTTTATATCTTCTAGATCTATTTTCCTCATATAATTTTATCATTGCCATTACCACAGTTAAAATGATTTAAAACTTGCCACACTGAATAAAGAACACATTGAACACAAATAGCATCCTATGAGGGAGGGGGAAAAGATCCCATACAGTATGTATTATAACGTCCCAATCAGACTTGTGTCCAATTTCTGGATATAAGTACTTGTGGCAGGAGTTAATTCATGCTTTATTCTAAGGGCCTCCCTTAAATGTTCAGCATTGTACTGATGTCAAAACTCAACTACTTTGGGCTCACAACAAAGAAATTATAATAAAATCAATAAAAGATGAAGATCAAAGATGAGAAGTGCAGTGAAGCAGAGTCTCGTTCTCCTTGCCAAAGACTTATCTGAAGAACCAGACCTTCATGGCTCTGCTAAACAACAGTATATGTGTGTGTGTGTGGGGGGGGGGTGTCAGAGTCCATGTCAGAGCAAATCTGAGCAATTTTATCTACCAGATTGTCTAAATAACCCTCACAATAGCCCAACAGATAATTCTGAAGGGCTCTCCCTAACCAATAGGGAGCAGGTTAATAATCTGAACAGGAAGATGTGATCATTCCTTTTCCGTGATTCCCATTCCTTTTATCTCTTCATCCAGCTCTTCCTTATGAGTTAAAATCAGATGTAGGAGTGGATAATTCATATTTTAAAGACATATTATTTTATTTTCAGCAAACACACGTCCTCTGCAACATCTTTGCCGTCTGAGAATCCGAAAATGCTTAGGACGTTTACGTCTGCGCTGTCCTGTCTTCCTGACATTTCTGCCGTTACCAAACCGTTTGAAAGAATATATCCTCTATAAGGAGTATGATCTCTATGGACAAGGACATCTAAAAGGAATCAACTAAGTCAAATGCATAAAAGTGCATTTGGAAGATATCCTATATATAAATGAACAGAATAAAGATATCAAAGCATGTTTAAAATAGAATTCTAGTTAGTACTAATACGTCTGCTTGCTTTATACTAGAGTACATAAAAAGTACTTGGATGAACAGTTAATGCAATGAAACCTTATCAAGCCTCAGGACAGTTTTGCAGATCTGATTTATGTCATTTGCATAGATAGGTGGAACTTGAAATATCTAACACTGCACAAATGTAACTTATGTAATTCATGTAACAACACTCAAATGAGAATTGGGAGCTGATGTCCCCAAACCCTGCGATGCCCTGTCTTGATTCAATGGACACCTCAATTGGTGTGGGTAAAAGGGGTTCCTTATATTTTCTATCAGTGGAGGGGATTTTCCTTGCAATCCTCCATATGCTCACAAAATCCACTGCAATTATTTTTCCATCTGAGCTGTAAATGTTGAAAGCAATTTTTTTAAATTGGCAACAACATACAACAGTGTGCTCTTTGCTCACAGGTGCCCACATTGTACTGAAATAGCATGCTGCTTTAACACAGAACACGTTTCAAGTAGTACAAGCAGGGCATTTACTTTACTGCCTAGTCTTATTTCTTTACAAATACAGCTGAATATTCTCTTTAGAAGGAAAACAATTTGCATGTGTAAGGAGTGTTAATTGGCACACAAAAAAAGGTCATGCATACACTCATGGAAGGCCTCCTGGTTTGGTACTTGTAGTTTTAAGCAAGACTTCTCGTGTATATCTTAAATATATATATTTAACTTTTAAAATTTGGCTTTCCAAGTGAAGTTTAGTCTTAGATTTTGTTGTGTGTTATTCAGAGATCTCTTAATAGCCTAGGTTTCTGCTGCTCACATCTTTAAGATGCAATTTAAAATCCTATGCCTTTTTATCGCAACAAGCATATTTATTGCAACTTCAAAAACAAAATTGCAATCTTTGTTTTATAATCCCAAAATGTTTTCTTTTAAAAGCAGTATTGTAAATCAAGTATTTCCAAAATAATTGAGGTCTTGCCATGTACCTTTATGTTACAGGTATAATGAAAATTGTATATCCTTGTCTTGTGTATTGCCTACCCTAGCTCCTTTGTATATATTTTGACATTGAAAACAAAGTATTTTGAAATATTTAACAACTATTATGTCACCAGTATTGCTTCACCTTTTGTCTAAGCAACTGCAACTACTAAACACGCAATATTTACAGACTTAATTTTCATATAACATGAATTCTTCTATATTCTAGTCAAATAAAGATAGGACACCAGCTGTTAGTTTTGCTTTATTAAGTACAATAAATGAATCTCTGTTATATGGATATTCTTCCATTACTGACATATTTAAAATGCATTTCACAAAGGTATTTTGAAAGTGTCCAATATATGATGTGCTTTGAAGAACAAATGCTGATAAAATATTTACATATTGTAGAAAAGCATCCTCTAAAATTGACTGGATTTTACTGAAATATTTCTCAAATTGGTTTATTAGTATCAAGATTTCATACTGCAATTGACAATATCGAGCAGACAATCACTAAATATTAATACAATTATGAGAAATTAAGTTTTAATTAGACTTTCAATTTAAAAATCACAGTCACTGATACAAGACTAAATCATTACTTTCTGATTAATTCACTGTATTATAAAGGCCACCCCAAATTTAGTGTACAAATCTCTTGGCTTCTTTACAGATTTCTTTATGGAACATTGTTTTCTCAGATCCCTGATGGTTGATTAGTCCTATACTATGTCATGATCTCTGACTGCCTGACAGTGTTCCTGCATCAATTAGAAAGCCTGTCCCTCCATGCAATTTGCTTTCCCCAGGAGTGTGAAGGACCTTATGCTACAGGGGAGGCAAAAGTCTTGTTCAAGCAGAAGTGTGCTTAATTAGCCCATGTATCTGTAGAAAGAAAGTGATTTCAGTTACAGATGAAAACAAAACAAATAGCAACCCTGTTTTGTTTTTTTTAAATCAATCCTATAAAATTAGTTGAATGCCTCTGGCTTACAATACATGCAAAATGTGTTTCTACAGTTCATCAGGGATGAATATTTTATTCAAAGAAATATAGTAATCTTAATTTGAATGTTGTCCTTAGAAATATGATTTAATACAGAAGGCAACTTAGAAGGTACACTTGTCCAGCAACAGTACACAACTGCCAAGTTAATTTGTCCTTGACTGCATAACCGTATAATTGTGTATGCAAAAGCAAGTCCCACTCAGGTCAGTGGAGTTTACCCTCAGAAGAATGAGAACAGAAATGCTGACTCCAAGGTCTATCTGCTGGCTCCAAGCAGTAAACCAATCAGACAGCCAAATCATACTTTTTTCCTACTCAGAACATTCCCACTAGAAAATCTAATGTGGGAAATAGAGCTACTGAACACAATCCATACAAGTTGGATTTTGTAAGTAACTGCAGATGGGTACATTCGAGGACAGTAGCCTGTGAACTGTTTATTATAATAAAGTTCATTTGGTATTATTCACATTATAATACATCTTTACAGAGAATATATGTGTGTGTGTGTGTATACACACACACATACACATACACACACACACACATGTGTGTGTATATATATATAATATACACATGTATATATATACATATACATATATATACACATATATATATACACATATACATATATACATATACATATATATATATACACACATACACACACACATATATATATACACACACATACATATACATAGAGGTCAGCTGAAGATTAGTCTGAAGCATTAACAAATATTGGTTAAAATGAACTGGTGATTTACTTTAAATTTAAATGTATGATTTTATAGTATTATGTGGCTTAACAGCTATAAACTGGATAAACAATTACAACAGATATTGTCAATTTGAGTGAGGTGGCACAAAATAGAATAAATTGAATATATGATTTTCATTATCTACAATTTTATACTCAAGTTGAAACATTAAGGGAAGTTTTCAAAAACTAGAAGGAGACGGCTCAACGAGCAATCGCACCTCCTCTATTTCTTGGGTCTCCATGTGTCTTTACGCCCTTGCAGTTAGGAACGAAGGACAAACATCCCTACTTGATCTCAAAAGATTTTCCAGCCCAGGTTAATTGGCCTTCAAAGTTTTTCCTCCATAGTCTCTGATCAGCCTTCAATTTCTGTACAATTTCTGCTTGCAGATTGCAATATAAAAGAGGACAAACCTACAGGTCTTTTGTATTTACAGTACGCTTGTACTGGAATGAAAAATCACTTCATGCTTTGTATATTATATTTGTCACAAATTAATAAGCTGAAGCAGAATTACAATTACCTGCCTGATTTTTCTCAGATTTAGCAAATATGTGCAATTTGTATGTATTTCTATTACATGTAGATTTAGGTTAAATATGACAACAGGTGTTAGAAAAATTATCTGACAATTTTTCCATGCAACTAATTCTATCACCAACATAAATCTCAAACTTTTGCTAATGAAAAGACACTTACAAACCTGATTCCAATAATCATAGCAATTCTGTTAGAAGTGTATGCACATTATTCTCATCTAGACAGTTAAAAGTCAATTTGTATAATGTTACAAATTTACACAGTGCATTGACACTCCAAAGTACTTTCCAGTGTTTGGTTGAATGTCTTTGCCACCCTCCACAAAGTGCTTTATGTATATAGAGGAGAAGCCAAGATCACTTCTAGCCAGTACAATTTCAAGTAAAAATGATAATTCTCATATTTCATCTTAAAAAACTCATACACTCTAGACCCAACACTTTCTCAGCAAAAGCATTAATTAAAAGTTATGAGGCTGCTGCCATTATTGACCCCGCCATTTTTAGGAATCAAAATTGGCTTTTTGTTCAGAGGCTTAGGATACTTTGAAGACTAAAATGATTCAATTTTTATCAGATCAAATGTTAGTATTTAAAAGTAGAACAAGACTCTTTATTTTAAGCAGGAGACTAAAACAACTTCTCTGAAAACAGAGAAAAGAAACTGAAGATAAAAGATTTTCTACCAACTTCTTAAGTTACACAAATTACTTTCTAAGTCACCAGAACAGCTAGGTAATTGAAATAGAATAAGTTCTATAATATCCAAATCTGCTACAGTCATGAACATTTCACTACATTTGGTTATGATGAGAACAAAAATCCATATTTACACTGAGCCATTTAAAAAAAATCAACCTTAATGAGTGAGAATACCAAGTTGTATCTAATATAACAAATTTACATGATTTGTTTTGTAAATTTTAAATGATACAATTTATCATTTCAGGCAAGAGGTTTAAAGCCTTGCACTGAAGTTGCTTCATGCATCAGATTCTTGCTTCTTCTTTCCTTCTTCACCCAAATCACTGTCTTCTGATGGGCTATTGCTAAGAACTATAAACTGTCCTTCACCAACACTCTGGATCGATCGACTAGAAGCAGCAATTAATCGACTTTGCTCTTCTAAATCCTGGAAAAAATACATTTACTGATTTATGCATAAGCTATGTGAATATTATTTTAAATAGTAAATAATACAGATATCATTATTGGCAACTATTCACTATGGCCAGTAAGTCACACACTACAAGTAGTCCTTGTTTAGTGACCACAATTAGCTAGGAAAGGATTGCAAGAGAATAGGTACACAATTGGGAATACACATTGAAAGCAATAGCTGGTGCTGGCAGCTATGAGAGTATTGTACAAACAGCCCAGTGTATTCTCCATTGTAAGCCGGGTTACTCTCTTGTAATTCTTTCTTCTCCAACCCATCCACTTTGCAAACACAGGGAAAAAAGAAAAACAACATGTCAGGAACAGGGAGGACTTCCAGTTTTGCACCGTAGTGCATGGCCACGGGATAGCGAAGCTCCACTCCCGCGGCCAGTTTCGTCCTGCAAGGGGGACCCTAAATAGGTCTGAAGTTGCCTCGAAGAGATGGCCGTGAAGGAGGGGCGCTCCGTTGATCATGAAATGACAGTGGTTGTTTTGTTCGATCCAGGGGAAGCCCTATGACAGGAGAAAGGCTAGTGTGGCATCAGTGTCTAGCCCAGGGGTAGGCAACCCAAAACACTCAAAGAGCCACTTGGACCCATTTCCCACCAAAAACAAAACACCGGGAGCCGCAAAACCCTTTTGATATCTAAAATGAAGATAACACTGCATATATCCTTTTTTACCTTTATTATAGGTGTGTGTGTGTGTGTGTGTTTGTGTGTGTGTATGTATACACACACACACACACACACACACATTAAAAATGAAAGTAAAAATATGACTCTTGGGAATATCCATACTATTAAAACAATGATCACCAAGAGACTGCTTTAAGAGAATAAAATTACATACACACAGAGGGAAAAAAAGGATATATGCAGTGTTATCTTCATTTTAGATGTCAAAAGGGTCTCTCTCTCTCTGTCTCTCTCCCTCCCTCCCTCTCTATCTGCCCTTGGTTTACCACTCTTCTTCCCCCACACACACACACTCTCTCTCTCCCTCCCTCCCTCTCTCTCCCTCCCTCTCTCTTTCTCCCCCCCTCCTATCTGCTGCTCACCTGGCAAGCTTCAAGCTGTTGTCCAACAAGCTCAGGGGTAGAAAACCTCGTCTCTTTTATGACTCATGGACTTCAACTCCCAGAATTCCTGAGACAGCCTAGCTGGGCTAGCTAGCTCTCTCCTGCCCTTCCTGCTTCCTGTTTCCTGCAGAGACGCAGGAAAGGAGGAGCTCCGTCCAGAAAGCTTTTCAGCTCCTCGGAGAACACTGTGAGTGCACTCTCTTTTACACACACACACACACAAACATACACACACACACAAACACACACACACACACACACACACAGAGAAAGAGAGAGAGAGAGAGAAGCAGGGAATCGCAATTGCCTCTCTCTGTCTCTGTCTCTCTCTGCAAAGGCAGAGGAGGCTGGGAGCCACATGGGAAGGCTCAAAGAGCCGCATGCGGCTCCGGAGCCGCAGGTTGCCGACCCGTGGTCTAGCCCAAGCCATCTGCAGCCGAAGTCCAAGAGCATGAACAAGAACATCGGTGAACCACATGCTTGGAACTGGTGAGAGTATCCATCTTCTCTCTTCTATTTACTAACTGAATCCTTGGGAAAGACCCCCAAAGCAAGAAAACCTCTGAAAATGAAGGGAGGGGACTATATCCCATTCCCTCATAGACGGAAGTGGTGAATTAATACTAAGGGGGAAAGAAATAGACTGAAATTAAATTTAAAATACTACAGTCTGGACAAATCTAGAAACTAAAAAAAAAACTGTTAAGACTACAGGTGAAACTCGAAAAATTAGAGTATCGTGCAAAAGTTTTTATTTCAGTAATGCAACTTAAAAGGTGAACCTAATATATGAGATAGACTCATTACATGCAAAGCAAGATAGTTCAAGCCATCATGTGTCATAAGTGAGATGATTATGGCTTACAGCTCATGAAAACCCCAAATCCACAATCTCAGAAAATTAGAATATTGTGAAAAGGTTCAATATTCTAGGCTCAAAGTGTCCCACTCTAATCATCTAACATCTTGAAAGGGTTCCTGAGCCTTTAAATGGTCTCTCAGTTAGGTTCTGTAGGAATCACAATCATGGGAAAGACTGCTGACCTGACAGTTGTGCAGAAAACCATCACTGACATCCTCCATAAGGAGGGAAAGCCTCAAAAGGTAATTGCAAAAGAAGTTGGGTGTTCCCAAAGTGCTGTATCAAAGCACATTAATAGAAAGTTATGTGGAATGGAAAAGTGTGGAAGAAAAAGGTGCACAAGCAGCAGGAATGACCACAGCCTGGAGAGGATTGTCAGGAAAAGGCCATTCAAAAGTGTTGGGGACTTTCACAAGGAGTGGACTGAGGCTGGAGTCAGTGCATCAAGAACCACCACACACAGACGGCTCTCCTGGATATGGGCTTCAAATGTCGTATTCCTCTTGTCAAGCCGCTCGTGAACAACAAACAACGTCAGAAGCGTCTTACCTGGGCTAAAGAAAAACAGAACTGGTCTGTTGCTCAGTGGTCCAAAGTCCTTTTTTCTGATGAGAGCAACTTTTGCATCTCATTTGGGAACCAAGGACCCAGAGTCTGGAGGAAGAATGGAGAGGCACACACTGCCAAAAGCACCAAAACCTGGTTTAATGACCGTGGGATTACTGTGCTTGATTGGCCAGCAAACTCGCTTGACCTGAACCCCATAGACAATCTATGGGGCATTGCCAAGAGAAAGATGAGAGACATGAGACCAAACAATGCAGAAGAGCTGAAGGCCGCTATTGAAGCATCCTGGTCTTCCATAACACCTCAGCAGTGTAACAGGCTGATAGCTTCCATGCCACGCCGCATTGAGGCAATAATTGTTGCAAAAGGGGCCCAAACCAAGTACTGAGTACATATGCATGCTTCTACTTTTCAGAGGTCCGATATCGTTCTATGTACAATCCTTGTTTTATTGATTGCATGTAATATTCTAATTTTCTGAGATTGTGGATTTGGGGTTTTCATGAGCTATAAGCCATAATCATCTCACTTATGACACATCACGGCTTGAACTATCTTGCTTTGCATGTAATGAGTCTATCTCATATATTAGGTTCACCTTTTAAGTTGCATTACTGAAATAAATGAACGTTTGCACGATATTCTAATTTTTCGAGTTTCACCTGTACACCTAAAAGGGTTTTAATGAAATTATAAAAAATATATAACAATAATAATTTTTTGTCTGAAAAAACTGGAAAATGAATAATTACTGATACCTAGTGGAGAATTAGAATACAGAACACTAACAATAATGATTCAGAAACTGGCAGGACACCTAGAAACAAAGAATAATCTATTCCCTTAAATTTTAAATAAACTTGAAGACAGCTGGGAACAAAGAAAGAACTGGCCGAGCCATAAGACTAAAAAGTGTCTGAAAGAAAAATACCTGGACTGTTGATTAAATTTAAGAATTGTTTAGAGAAAAAGAAAAACTCTGGCTCTTGGCTAATCTTTTAGAGGAGAATCTACAGGAAGGACTTAATGTGGCTTAACACATTGAATTGCAATTTTGACTGATTGGTAATTAACCCCTGAACTAAAATATTGATTAAAAACTATTTGAACGGGGGAGACAACATGGATATCGTACACCTATCAACAAATGACAGGACACCACACTCAATATTCACTCCTGAAGTACTTAGCCTGGAACATCAAAGAAGCAGAATTTCAAGGCAAGATAAATACTTTCCAAAAGGAAATGTACGCAATGTTATGACAGATACAAATAACAATAGATTTAAAACGCGAGGAAATCCAGAACTTTGACAACATAAATAAGCACATCTCTAATCTAAATCTACAATAAAAAAAACACCCAAAAAATGACGGTAAATGAACAAACAAATCAGATAACAGAACACAAATTAGAAGAACATGATCATATCGACAAAGCTACAAATAAAAAGAATTACAATCCACCACAAACAGGAAAAAAATCTACAAGACTTTGATATAACAATAAAAATGGAGTGGACTATAGAATTCCCAGGAGAATCATTAGAGTTTGGGAGTCAGAAAGTATATATCCTACCTATTCTATCTTCTGCATTACCAACAATACTTGCAAAAACACAGGAACTGCCAGGTAAGTGGAATATATCAACTTGGAAAGCTATTCGGCAAAAGAATAAGGCTAGAAATAGATTCAAGAGATTTGACTTGCCCTACCAGATGGAGTATTAGATGAGGAAACACTTGTTTGGATATGGTTAAAAGAATAGAGAATTTTGAACATAAAGGGACTCTATAACAAGAGGGATAAGAGATTTAAGTAATATAGTATGTTTTATAATATATGAAATGTAAAAATATTGGGATGATGTAACTTTTATAAATATAAGTGAAATTTAAGCTGATCAGAAAGGATGTTATACCCAGATGTTATAAAATAGACAAGAAGCACAGTATTTTTATAATACATGAAATATGAAAATATTGGGATGGTGTACCTAAATGGAAAAATTTGGATATCTAGATGATTAACATTGAGAAAATCATGACTGATAAGAATGGATTGAATAAAAGGGGAAATTAAACAAAAATCACAAAAATAGGATGCATGGTGAACTAATGAGATGATGGTTATAAGAATAATATAAGGTGATTTAAAAATGTTATACATAAATATTATCACTATCTGTATAAATATGAAAAAATGTCTGTATTTAATCATTTATATATTGAAAATATTAAGAATTATATTTAAGGTTGAAGAAGGAGAATACAAATGGGAGAAGGGAACATCAAAGAAATATAGTATTAATATAATTATGGAATTATCAAATTTAATAATTATTGAGTGTTAATTAATATTGCCTTTTTTTTCTTTTCTCAAATATATAAACCAAGACAACACGCTGTACACCAAGCACTGGGGATTGTTATTATTAAAACTAATAAAATATTTTTGAAAAAAACATGTGAGGCATAGCGCAATACATACTGACTATAACGGTGATTGTGTGACTGATGGACAGCACTGTCATTAACTTTGAATGGTTGTTGAACAAGACATGGTAAGCAATGACTACCTGCATTAAAAATGAATTATCAAGATTCATCAACCTGAACACAAAGCTTTACATAGGGCTATAGAGAACTTCAATCATTCAGTAATGTTTAAGAATAAAATTCTGTGAACAATATGATTCATGCTAAAATGATTGCTTTGATGCAGTATTGTCTTTCCAACCACAGGGAGTCACAAGTCTCCTGGCCACACAAAGTAGGCCATTGCTTGTCAGGTTTAAGCAACTAGTAATGTTGTACTACATCCACTGTTATCATATGAACACATCTGTTTTAATCTAAAACCAATCAATATCAGTTTTGTGAGGAGGAGTGATTTTTCATGTTTATTTAAATAAAAAAGTTATTTTGAAAGTTAAAAGTTAACTTTTTTAAAAGTTAAAAAATCCAAGTTAAACCTTGATTAAATCCATACCTTTTCAATTTGTTTTTGTTTATTGAGCTCTTTTTGCTGTTTTTCCTTTTCTCTTTCTATTTCTTTCTGCTTTTCTGATGATCTTCGATCCTGAAATTTTTTAAAAAGAAAATGCCAAATACCAAAATGTAACATTATTTACACAGAATGGATTACTACTTTGTTTTGCCTGAAAAAATATAACCAAATACTCTTACAGCTTTTCAAAGGAAAGTGTTAAAAATCTTGGCTTTCACATCATATCAATCAATATATCACATCAATTATGCAATAGAAAAATGAATTACACAGTAATTTAAGATTAAAAGACCAGGATGCTTACATAATTGTTTCTCCAAATATAATTTGTGTATTCACAAAATACAGCCTCCTTCACTATATGATTCAGCTTCTCAATTATTTCTGATTTGCACCCACCTGTATCTGCTCAAGAAATGAACAAATGCAAAAAAGGAGCAATACTTCCAAGAGATATTAACTCCTGATTTGAACAATAAAGCAACATTCTTTTAAGGATTAAGAAAAATAGAAGATGTAGATATACTACAGATAGTCCTTGACTTACACAATTGAGCCCAAAATTTCTATTGCTAAGTGAGACCGTTGTTAAGTGAGTTTTGCATTTTACGGCCTTTCCTTGACACAGCTGTCAAGTGAATCACTGCAGCTTTTAAGTTAGTAACAAGATTGTTAAGGGAATCTGGCTTTCCTATTGACTTTGCTTGTCAGAAGGTTATAAATGGTGATCACATGACCCCAGGACACTGCCACCATCATAAATATTAACCAGTTGCCAAGCGTCTGAATTTTGATCACGTGATCGTGGGGATGCTGTAACAGTCAAGTAAAAAATGGTCATAAGTCACTTTTTTCAGTGCGACTGTAACTTCGAAGTGTCACTAAATGAACTGCTTTAAGTCAAGGACTGCCTGTATATTCTTAAGGTCAAGACAGATAAATATTTAAGGGTAAAAAAGACCTTTTCTTTTGATCTTGTTTTAAGAGTCCAGGAGATTTGCCTGCTCTCTGGTTTTGCTTTCACTTGCAGAAAGCTTAGCCAAATTATTTGCTTATCAACATCTCTTCGGCACTCCTGGACTGGAACTGCTTGTGACTTGCCAGGCACTGGTTGATAATTTATTTGTGAGAATAGTTATTGGGTGAGAGAGGTCTGCAGTGGAGTGCTTAGTTTTTTCATTTCACTGATTGTCAACAGAGAGAGCAACATTTCCAAGTACTTAATATCATCACACTCTTTTTTTTGAGAGAGAGATGGTGAAGCATCAACAATAATTAAATAATGACTCCAAAAACCAAAAGTTTTTTTTTTTTTTTTTTGTTATTCCAAAGCTGAACTGGATTTGAGGTTGGACACTGAAATTTCATCAATTTGGGCAGATGTCAGGAGATACTGCAAGCGATACTGAACTATATACTCATTTGATATATATATATATATAAATATAAACTACCTCTACATTTTATAACAAGTTAAATTCTTACCAATTCAGCATGTAATGCAATCTGTTTTGCAAGTCCCACGGAATCACAAATCTAAATGAAGAAACAAATAGGTACTATTATAATCACTAAAAAAATGTGTTCATGTTCAAGGACAGTAAATCCTCAATTTAACTAATTGGGGGAGGAATCAAAGATCCGTGAAACAGCAAATGAATTTTTCAAACGTCAGAACTGCCATTAAAGGTGATTCTGACAATTACAGGTGCAGTGTATCTGCACACTGAAGACAAGCAGTGGCCAAGAGTCACCAGAGGTCGAGTATCATCAGAGCTTGTGCTGATCATGGAGCCAGAGGAACTTCCACAGCCAACAAAGGTGAACTGTGAACCAGGGAAATTTGGTGTGTGGAATCTCAAGTCTGCTAAACTAAAGGTTTAACTATACATAATTACAAAGGATGAACAAATTGGTCAAAAGAACTGGAGAGTTCTTGGTGCTCCCTGGTTGTGAGAAGACATTTTATTACCCAACTAGGTAACTGACATTAATGATGTTACCTAGTTGGGTAATGAAATATCTGCAAGCAAATAAGTAGAGAGCATCAAGAACTCCAGAGGTTCTTTGCAAGTTGCTTCCTGCTGACTCCACCTGCATGTTTATATAAAATCATCTGCTTGGGGGGGGGGCGTTCTCCGCAAAGAATTTTTATATCCCTAGTTTTTACAGCTTTGGGATAATTTAAAATACAAGAATATTAACTGAAGCATGATGCATGTACCTACCTTTTCCCCTTCATTATTTGATTCAAATATGTAGCAAACTGAAGTTGGTCTGCCATCTGCTCTTCCTGTTGAAGTATGAAGCACAAATCCAAAAAGACGCTTGTTCTCCTGGTGTGTGGCATACAGAACTATATTTGGCAAAGGAAACTGTCCAGAGAGGAAAAGAATTGTCATTGAATAACAGCAATAAATAAAATTACAGAAAGATACTTTTGGATTATTAAAGTAAAAGCCAAAATAATTCATATTTATGTTTCAGAATAAGGTCATTCTAATTCGTCCTACTGACTTCTCAGCACAGACCTTCTACTCACTATGCTCCATCAACTCTTATGCTAATGCATTCTCAAAAGCTTATAAATTAAGTTAGGCTTTTATAACTATTAGCAGGAATTCCTTACATATTTTTTCTAATTTACAAGTAGAAGCGTATGGCTAGACCACCCACTTTCATAATGTGTAGTTTCAGGATAACTGAAATACTGTTTGGGGAACTGGATAACCTATAATTTCCTGTCAAGAACAATAAATAGAAAATACACTTGGATGAAACTGAACAGTTTCTGATGGTTAAGTACTTTTATTTTAACAACTTACCCGGAGTCTTGTAACTTGTGTTTGTGGATCAATTAACCTAGAAAAGATAATTTCAGAAATGTATGGATAATGGATATTTAAAAAAGACCAAAATGTATAAACTTTTTGACAATCATTTGCTTTAGAAAAAGAATATACTTACTTTAAACAATCGCAGGTAACTAACAAATGTGATTCTGTCATTCTGAAAATGTTATGTATAGCTCGAGCTGCTAATATTTGACGCATTGTTTCATAAACAACATCAGGACTTTCATCTGATTTCACTTCCATAGATCCAAGGAATCTTATAATAAATAACTGATGAAGGATAGAATCTAGAGCAAGAGCATAATAAATATATACTTTGAGTAAAGCTTTAGCTTTGCCCTTATGAAATATTAGCTATATGTATATATATCTTGTATGTGAATATCCAGTAAAATATATTATTTATTTATTATAGCTAACCACTCTAGCTTACAAAATATAATACTAATTTAAAACAACAAAACAAAACAAGGCAGAATCGTCTAATAACAACCATCAGAATAGAACACCACAGTCACACACCCCCAAACACATTAACCTCAGGCCTGGGACTAAAGTCAGTTTTTAAGAACTTTATAAACTACAGAAAAGAGGGCAACATCCATATCTCTGCAGCAATGCTGTTCCAGAGAGTGGGGGCCATGACACAGAAGACACACACTTCCTAAAGTCTTTAATAATTTATTTCTTTAAAAATGCAATGTATATAAGCTCTGCTAGTTCTATCACAACATTTAGTTACCCTTAGTTTTGACTGAGAAGAATTGTTTTGTTCAATCAACATTAAAGTTAACTAAACTGGAAGCATTGTTATGAGATGGTGGTTTGACCAAGATAGTAAGGGAAGGATAATGTATGATTTTACAATATAATTTAAGGGACTTTTACATTAAACAAGCATAACAAATAAAACTTGATAGTTCTTCTTCCATTTCTTCTTAAGCTTATTTTATAATGTAAGTTAAGTTTTGGTTGTATCTTTATTTTCCTAGATTACTGCAAAGTTCTTTCATTGAAGTATTTTCTTGCACTTTTAGCATTACTTCAAATATAGCTCTGAGACAGGAGAAACTAGGAATCAAACAGATATCTATTTTAATTCTATAAAACCTATCCAATGCAGTACTTAAAACTGAATGAATTTTCTCAATATAGCATTAATTTATTAATGTAAATCCATATAGAAAGAAATTTTTGAACTATCATTAGAGGTAATTTAAATAGAATAACAACAACAACTTTATTGTCACTTTGAATGTACACCAATTGGCATACATCAAAAGGAAATTTCATTACATACTGCTCTCAAAGGGTCACCACCTCTGATATACACTCCTTGTTCGTGGCCAGCTCAAGTTTCAGATCATCCATTTTAGTATCTAGGGAGCGAACAATGGCAAACAGGACAGATGGAAACAGAGCTCCCAGTGGATTAGCTCTAAAATTAGCTGGTATTCCTGCACGACAACCTTGCCTTCTTTTCTTTTTCTGATCCTGTCTCTTCTACCTTTTCCTTAAAGACCTCCAAGGTCCCTTCCAACTTTTTTTTAATAATAACAATAATAATAACTTCTTCTTATTATTATTATTATTATTATTATTAATCATCGCACAGTCAGCCAGATGTTCAGACTGGATTTGGCATTTTGTCTACCTATCGAGTCCTTACCCAGGACCTGGGATAGGCAGATGTGGATGTCTGGTGGTATTACAGGTATCGTCGCAGGATGGAAGCAGTTCCTAGTAAGGCCGCCTTTTGCAATTGACTAATAGCGAATTTGTCAATGCCAATGGTGTTCAAGTGGTGCTCCAGTTGTTTTGGGATTGCACCCAAGGCGCCTATCACTACTGATACTACCCTTGCTTGCTTTTGCCACAGTCTTTCTATTTCTATTTGTAGGTCTTTGTATTTTGTTATCTTCTCCAGTTCTTTCTCGTCTATTCTGCTGTCTCCAGGCACTGCCACGTCCACTATCCAGACTTTTTTGTCTTTCTTATCGACAATTGTTAAGTCTGGGTGTTATGTTGCAGGTGCTTGTCTGTTTGAATTCTGAAGTCCCAGAGCAGTTTAATTTTATCATTTTCTATGACTTTCTCTATTTTATGATCCCACCAGTTTTTGCTTACAGGCAAATGATATTTTTTGCAGATTTTCCAATGCACCATTGTTGCTACTTTGTCATGTCGCTGCTTGTAGTCAGTCTGTGCAATCTTCTTGCAACAGCTTACCAGGTGTTGTTGTTGTTGTTATTATCACCACCCCTGGAGCACATTGCCCCCACCACCAACTCCTCCAAAAGCCTCTCTCCCTTCCTCTGGGCCTGCCAACAGCCTCATCCAGTTCCTTCGCTCCATAAGCCCCGGGACCTCTCCTCCTCTGCCTCCTTTGGAAACAGCCCTGATTTGCAACAGAATCCATCGCTGGGCCAGCAGTTACATCTTGCTGCCAGCAGAACAATTTCAAACAGCGCCAACGACTTTTAACGGTCTCACCAAGCAATGAGAAGAATTATTCCCTCTTAATCTGAAGTAAGCAGCCTAAGATATTTAAGATTCATATTCCATCGGACAAGTGCCCTTGTTTATTATACAGAAACATTTTCCTGTGTACCTTCTTTAATTATTTCATTCACCTCAGGCTTCCAGCCAAATTATCAAAATATTATTTAAAATTATCAATCTGTTCTCTTCAACAATATACAATATTACACGATATATTTTACATTTCTTTAAAGCTTTGCTCTCTACCTTCTGTTTCTGATTTGGTTCCACCAGACTCTCCAAAAGGATTTGTACGTCTGTCAAAAAAAAGGTATCAAATCAATGTCTTAACAGAATTGCAAAACAGCAATAAGACTGAATGGTTGCCTAGAAGAACACACAGACACCAGTTAATTTTCATAATTTCAGAAATTTTATATAAAGAGCTATATTTTAACAGAAAACAATTGAAAAAAACTGTAAAACCACTCATTACAAAATAACATGTATTGTAATATTGTTTGGAAAGTTACTTAATTTTATCTGCTTTTGAAAATATAATCGTGTATTACAAACTACAAACTTACTGAAATTCATTAAAAACAAATCGCTTTAACAGAAACTGCATGCTCCCCTAATGTTAATATGTTAAATTTTTTATGTATGAAAAGTTACCATTTCAAATACAGTTTCTGAAAACACTGATGGAATATTAACCATAATCAAGAGAAACACGTCTATGCTTAGCTCTCAGCAGAGCCATTGTTACTCTTTACATTATACTTGTGAAAATTTTCTAGGCTTCCAGTATATAGGCAAAGAAAATCTTTATCAAAACATTTTTCAAATGAAGATGATGATCCTTAAAAATCAAAAGGTCATAACAGTATTTTTCAAAAAATATTCAGTTTGATATTTTCACAATAAAAATCTTTCACATAATCATGGTGTTGCACTAGAACAGGGGTCCTCAAACTACGGCCTGCCGTATCTTTTTATTTGGTCCCTGGGGGAACATTGGTGATATAGTGGTTGCAGCATTACTAATTTCTATGCATCTCTCCCCCTCGGAGATATATCTTAACCTCAGGAACCATGCACTTAAAATGACAACCATCTTTGGTAGAACCTAAGTCTATGAACAGACTTTTTCCCGAATGAAACATCTGAAATCTCCAATCAGATCCAGACTAACTGATGCTCACTTGCATCACTTGTTATGACTAGCAGTGACAAATATGGAACCGGACACTGAATATCTCATAAGCCAAAAGCAGGCCCATACTTCCCCATACTTATGTTAATTAAAAGTATTTATTTTATATATTGTATTGTTTTTTCCTGGTTTTTTGCACTACAAACGGTTGCACTACAAACGTGATATGTGCAGTGTGCATAGGAATTCGTTCGGTGCAGGTAAAAAAAAAAAAGAACAGAAGAAAATATTCAAATATAGACAAATAATTAACTCAAATAGATGTTTTATTAATAAAAACTTATTAACATTATATCATTATTTTTTTTCAAACTATAGTCCGCCCCCCCTCCCAACAGTGTCAGGGACAATGAACTGGCCCCGTTTAAAAAGTTTGAGGACCCCTGCACTAGAAGCTCTCTAAGGGCCTTTACAATTCCCTAAGCTGTAATGCAGGATGCAACAATACCCTTGCAGTGTGCCCATATAATCTAGTCTTAAATGCTTCCAGCAAAAAATGTTCACGTCTCACAAGGCAGCCTGTCCCATTTGCAAACAGGCAATGGGATCCATGTGATCAGAATTATTACAGCTGGCAAATCTCTTGCAGCCTGGCATACTTGCTATTTAGTTCAGTTCATGAGAAATCTGGTGAATATAGCAAGGCTCAGACTTTTATAGACTTCAAATTGAAACAATTTACATTTTTTTTCAGGGTGGCATTCAGTAGTTCTCCTCGCAAGTCTGTATTATGGCTGCTGAATCTTTATACTAGCATTCACAGAAGATCCTGAAAATTGTATGCATGTAAAATTTTACATGCATACAGTATCTATATGAGTAAGGCAATCTAGCACCCTCACCTAATCATTCTGGTTGCCTTCGACACATAGAGGATGATTGTGCAGAAGGATCCCGATTAGCCACAGATGTTCTCCATGTATTTTAGAAATTGACTTTGCAGGGAGTAGGGTTAGATTATTCACTCTAATAATCTGCATTCACATATTGATAAGGTATAGCAGTCATGGTATTTGGAGAGAACATTAATTGGAATACAGAGGAAGAGAATAGGATATGTTGGTGCTTAAAGTGAGGTGAATATTGGTTAGAAATTGGCAAGAGAGTATGGATACAACACAAGAAGAAAGTAAAGATGGAGCATGGCTGGGGAAGTGAAGTTCAAGGAATGCAGAAGAAGAATATAATGCCTGAGAGGAAAGAGATAGATAATAAAATTGGAATAGAAGATTGGGAAGAGAATTTCAAACAACTGTCCACTTAATAAACGGCTGAGCTTTGGAGGACAAGGAGACATGACAGCTTAATGATTGAATAGCTTTGGTTTAACAGAGTGAATGACTGGCAATAACCTTATCACCACAATTGAGAGAAGGTGTGGTATTGCCAGGAGCAGGAGACACAAATTGCCTATTATAGTATACATCTCTTTCTGACTTGGGTTTCAGGACCATCAGACACAAATGGATTTTTCCTGCCCAGAAATAGTTAAAGAAATAGACTTGGAAACAAGCTTTCTGGATAGATGCCTCCTAATTCTGGAATAGCTTGCCCTCCAAGATAAAAATGGCCCCTTCCCTGTTGACATTCCAGAAGGCAATGCAAACTGTACTTTTCCAACAAGCCTTCGGGACAGAGGGAATTATGTGAATGGGATTACTCTTACTGACTGCATCACATGTTGAGCTTTTGTGCTTTGATTTATTCTTAATGTAATCCTCCTGGCATCTTTGGAGCAGCCAGCATAGATATTCATGTGTGAATAAATGAGTATACTTAAAATGCCTGAAGATGACTTTTGTCATTTACATTTTTCCTCAAACACCAATATCAATTTGATTTTTTCCTATGGATATTAGCTTTGAATTAGTTTTTCCTTACAACAAACTTTCAATAGGAGCAACTGGGGTTAATTAATTTCTGTTCTGAAAGAAAAACCAATCATATCTACAAGCAGCTGGTTTCATTCAGCAATCACATGTTCTAAGAGTTTATAAGCTATCAAAGGAATGTATAAGTAGTGAAAGTAATTCCTTTTGTTATTACTCTTTTAACTCTTAATTTTAATATACCTATAAGACTATAAGGCACACAGTTATGAGTGAGATAATTGCTTTGGCTTGGAAAGTTTCTAGTCAAATTTTTCACTATACTATATTAAGACTTGCCTTAATATTATAATTAAGTATTCACTGGTCCCTAATATTTAGGGCCCTCTTACTTCACTGAGTAACAAATATTGTATACTCAATTGCTAAATGATAATTGTAAAATATACTAATGTAAAATGGAAGCTCCAGTGAGATGGAGAAGGGGAATGAAAAGAATTCTGGACAATGAACAATTTATCTTCCTAACAGATATTACTCTAGAAGCCTAGATAATTTTCACTCACCTTTTTTAACTTAGGAAGAAAGCCATCAGAATATGCCTTCACCACCTGGGTTGCCACATTTCTCTTGAGTTTCCAAGAGGAAATACCCAAGTTGCTGGGGCAGGCAAGCAAGCAATAGGAAAGGAAAATATACTTTTTAAAAACAAAACAAAAAAAAAACCTGAAGAATGCTCAACAGGGCAAAATAAGTCTGCTACAAGAAATAAAACATAGAATCTTAAGCAACATAAATTTTTTCCAGTTGGGCAAGATTTCAATTTTTTTGTTTAATGATCAGCTCATTCAGGTCTAAAAATCCTAGCACCTCTAGGGATTAATGTAATAAAACACAGAGAACCTGATGCCACCCAATTCCCTTGTATACATAATTTTCCCCACCAATTTTAACATCAGATAGTGCCAATCAGCTTTCACTCTTAATTAGACATCTGAATAAATTTGAAGTGTTTGGCTGAAATCTCTAGTTAAAAGCAAACTCTGCTTCGGCAAAATCATTCTTAAAATTGGTAAAGGGAATAAAAAACAAGTTAAATTTGTGCAGGGAGAGGATCCTGGATGAAAGTGAGGACACTACCCATAAACAAAGTTAAAACATGATGAGTATTATTCTACATAGGTTTTAAGTATCAACAGAGGTGTTAAATATTGAGTTAAATATTTATTTGCTTGTATTTCATTTTTGTTAATTCTTACCTGCCTGATTGGCCTGGAGTTTTTATTTGACCAGGCTGGTCTTCACTTACTGGAGAAATGATATCAAATTGTATAGGTGTGTCAGGTGCAACAATCGAGTCCAAGGAAAGTGCGGATAGTGATGCCGAATCAGATCCCAAAGATCCAGTGCTACTTGTACGATTTGTGGGAGGCCGAGGCTGTCTGAAAAAGCAAGAAAAGTAGGGAACAGCTCAACCTTCTTAACCATCTCTTTCATTTCAGCAGAAAAGAACTGATCAAATTCAGAAGTCAAACATTTTCTTACAAATAACAAAAGGCAATCTATTATTCAAACAATAGAATAGTCTCAACTAAATAATTTGGAGACAAATATCTCAATGAGAATAAACGTGAAATACATCACGTATTTCAATATATCATGAAATACAAATCAAATATATCATGAAATACATCTAAAAGGAGAAGGGTAACCTTCAGGCTAACAAACTGAATACTTGAGGTCATCAAAATTATCAACTAAATCTAGCAAGAATATTTAATGGCAGCAACAACAAAATTTCTCAAATTAATACAAATGCCCAATAAAACTTCAATTTTATATGGTTGTGACTTGAGAAAAATAAATTCTGTAGGATGAATAAGCTAGCATTTTAATTTTAAATTCTGAATCTTTAATGAGACAATAACTAGGAAAAGCAAACTAGTGCCTAATTAAGGATCAGTGATTCCTCTCAGATTATTAAATGAAATAGTAGGGAAAACTGAGCCAGAAACGTTAGGAATAGAAACTGAATGAAATATAGCAGAAACCAGAGATTAGAAGAGCTGGGTCAAAAGTAAGGTCATGATTACTGTTCTTTCCAACAGTATCTATTAATGATCAAATGATGTGAAAGTATTTTGCCCACAAATATAATAATCAAAGGATCGTATCGTATCACAGATTTCCTATTTAAAATGCTATGGGAGAAAAGAGACATGGTAACAATTATACATTTTAATAGCAACTATAAAATTTTGGGACTTATTAATAGCAGCACTTTGCATATTTAGAAAATAATTTGAAAGAAGTCCAGCAGCTCAACTTTATTCAGGCTTTCACACAAACCTGAAAAGAGATGTTGTTTTAAAATCACATTAACGTCAATGGGTGGATTCTTTAAAGCGGCAACACTTTCTATTTAAGCTTGATTCTGGAAGAATCAATACTAACAGCATATGAATGGTAAAATCTAGATTACTCCTCAGATAAATTTCAGAAGATTTTATTAATTTGTAACTTTCCACAAATTATAGTATATTTTTTTAATAAATAAATTTAAAAGGATATACATTCCAGTTGCAGTTTCATTGCAAAATTTAAATAGTTGTATTTTGCAGTAGCTTTCAATGAATTAAAAAAATATTTTACAAAATATGAAATGTGTCTTTCCTGCTGTTTGGTGACTTACATAATTGGCCTCATGCTTTCATGTCTCTGCTGGAAGGAAGGTGAGGGAGTGACAGCCTCTAAAGCTGACTGATTTACACGGGCAGCAATTTCCTATGTTGTTAGAAGAAAAACAAATATTTTTTTTCATTTAATTAGATCTAAAAATAAATGAATATATGAAGATTTTTAGTAAGCACAGCAACTAATTGAGTAGACATATTGAAATGATTTTTTGTTAGAAACATGAATTTATGAAAACATAGCGGTTAATTATTTTTATTGAGGAACACTGCTAAGCATACAGTGTGGACCCAGAATCAATTATTGTCTTTGGGCAATGTAACTTATTTTTTCTATATTCATCTGCCACTGCAGGTAAAAAAATTAACCCTCCTCTAAGCAAGCCATCATACCCAAAAACATTCTCCATTCAAACTGGAACAAGGCCTTTAATGCCAATGGAAGCTTTCCCAACCAAAAATTAACCATGTAAATAGTGATTTCCATCCAAGAAAGAAAAAGGAAGTAGTGGAAAAAGACAAGAAAGTTGGGAATAAAAGGAAAGTGATATAAAGTCATATGTATGTGTACAAGAAACAAATGAAAGAACATATATACAACTGGATATTTTACATGAGATATAAACTCAAGATTGAAAAGCTAAAATAAAATAATAAAATCCCATCTTCCACCAACCCAATCTTTATTTCTTCTTTCTCTTTCTCAATCACTACACTTTTTGTAGTGTAGTTTCTTTGCTCCATTAAAATGAAATTGCAGAATTGGGCTTCCGGTTTGACATCGTAGCGTAACAGGTGCAGGAAGACGGGCCTCCGTCTTTTGCGTTCGATTTCACCCCACTGGGGACCCTGGAAAGGGTCAAAAGTCACCCCGTATAGGCAACAAGCAAGGAGGGGAATCTCAATGATCACGGGAGGGCGGCAGCCCTTCTGTCTGATCCAAGGAAGCCCTCCAAACCGGCGGGGGAAAGACCGGCTACATTTGTGTAGCCATTCAGAAGCTGCTGACAACGGAAGACAATAAGCACTAACAACATGGATGAAACTGAGTGAGACCCTATCCTCTCTTTATGATTTTAAGACTTCTTCCTGGAAAAAATTGCCCGAAGCGTCCTTCCCGAGAGGGAAGGGGAATTTCCACCCCATTCCATCAGGAAAAGAAAAGCAGCAAACTAATTATTTGAGGGAAACAGGGAAAATTACAAGATTAATTTGGAATTAATACACATATATGGCTTTGAAATTTAGGGACTAAAAGTGCTTTTGAGACTTTTTTTTTTAAGAGAAGGAAGAAGAATTGATTGAATGGAAGATAGAGCTGTTAGGAAAACTGTGGGGAAATGGAGAAGGAGGGAGGCTGTTTAATGAATATCAATGGGTTTGTTCTTCCAAAAATACTTTAACCAAATGGTCTTTCTTATTCCAAATAATATACACAAAAACAGAGAAAAAAATACTGATGATTCAAATGCATTGACTTGGTAAGTTAGTTGGCAAAGGAAGAAAGCTAGAGTAAGACGGAAAATAGAGGTTTTGATCCATTATATGAGATATTATATTATTAACTAGATGTTTGAATATGGTGGAGAATAGACAATTGCTAGAAATAGAAGTATTATCATAACTAGAAAGATAAGCTTTCTAATTAGAATATTAGATTTTGGTATGAGAAGGGAAACAGGAAAATGTTAAGAAGTTTGAATAAGGAAAGCTTTTGATTACCCAAATATAACTTACTTTGAAATTATAAACAATAGATACATTTTGAACACTGAGGGGAAATTAAAAAAAAAAGTGAAAACAGGATACTGATTGAACATATGGATATTAAGTTCAAATGCAATTAAGATATGTTTTGGTTAGAAAAGTTATCTAAAATTGATATTATTGATATTATGAGAAAAATGTAACAAAGATGTTGATATTCAATTGTATATTTATTAATAACAATAAGAATTGTATTTGCCTAGTGTGGGAAAACAGGTACTACCAGAAGAAGAGAGGAAACATTTGATGGTTTAATATTGGATCTAGATTGAAGAAGTTAATACATAATACTGAATTACTAATGGGCCCAGACAACACGTTGTCTATTAAGTATTTGACTGTAAAACTAAAAAAATAATATTTATAAAAAAATGTAACTGCAGAATTAAAACCATTTTTTCTCTCAATCTGCATAAACAACGAATTTTAATCTCAATATTTATTTCAATATTCCAACGTACTCTGGAATCAAATATTTCCTCAAATTTAAATTTAAATTTCCCATCAAACAGTGTTTTGTTTTTTATATTAAAGGAGTACAATCACATTACCTCTGGGTTTTCGCTAAGGTAAATCTGTTTCGAGATATTGTTTATTGTACATATCCACTGGAAAAAAAAGTTTAAAATATAGTTAATTTTCTGCCCATTATATACTTTCCTATTCTAGATTATGGTTAAGAAATTAAAAACATGGTAAATGCTTTAGTCTGATCAAAAGAATAACTTTTATCATTAGAAATTAACAAAAAGAGGTTTTTTTCAGATAAGTAAATCTCACCTTGCCCTTAACCTATTAACTCTCCAATAACAAATAATAAAATACAGTTGACATGTTAACAATCTTTGCACACACAGTCTAAGTTAACAATAAGCCACATACAAGATATTTACAATTAGTTTCCAAACTACAGAGAAGGCAGAGGAAATTTGTGACTCTCCAGATGATGTTAAACTCCATTTGTTTCATGCAATTAGTCATGTTTGGATGAAATATGCAAATTGTGGTTCTACAACTTTTGGGCCTTATAGTTTCTCCAACACTACCACAGAAGCAAAAGAAAAATTCATGTATTTTTTTAAAAAAATCATATTTAAATAAAATTTCCATCTGTCTAGCTGAATTTTTCCTCTTGATTTTTTTTAATGATTTCAATAATGGAAGCGAGAAACCACAGGCTTGCTAAATGTGAAGTAATCCACACAAGATGCAGATTTAATATTAAACCAGCAATGTGGCACATCTGAAATTCTTTTCCCTGCATTGATTACTTAGCACTGAGAGCAGCAAGTTTCAAACCTATTTTAAACTGCCTTGTTATAGCTAAGGAAAAGGTGAGAACTTTCCACTCTGCCTTTCTTTTGGCTTGCAAGCTGGCACAATTCCCAATTTTATGATAAAGTTGATGCCTGAATTGAAATCTACCTAAATATAAGTTTCACCACTGTGTGGTAAATCACAAACTGCTTGTGATCTAAATTCTTTTTAAAAATATGAGGAAAAAAACCCCACCCTTCTTGTGAATGCAAGCCTTTAGGCTACAAACCATACAATGCTTTGGCAGTCTTCACCTTTCCATGTCATCAGCATATAAAATTATTCTGCTCTTTAAAACTGCCCTGATAACTAGCACCAGAAATGTAATTTGGAAACCATTTACAGGTAGTCCTCAACTTACAACAATTCATTTAGTGACTGTTCAGTTACAATGTCACTGAAAAAAGAGATTTATGTCCACTTTTCACACTTATGACCATGGTCACTTCATCAAATTTTGGATGCTGGGCAACTGGTTCATATTTATGGCGAGGTCATGTGATCACCTTTTGCAATCTTCTGACAAGCAAAGTCAATGAGGAAGCCAGATTCACTTAACAACTGTTACTAACTTAACAACTGCAACGATTCACTTAACAAATGTGGCAAGAAAAGTTGTAAAATGGGGTAAAATTCACTTAAGAATTGTTTCATTTAGCAACAGAAATTTTGGACTCACTTGTTGTCATAAGTTGAGGACTATCTGAATAAGCATCATATTTTCTTAATGGCTTTGCATTATGACAATTGCCTTATTTTATTGCAGAATAAAAGAATGGAATCTAGTGGCACATTTAAAAAGTGATCTATTATTGTAAGAAAGGCTTTCATTGTTTAGACAGCTTTGTCAGGTTTGGGCAATTTCACAAAACATTTACTAGTTTCAATAACCATTATGTTAAAAAGCTTACTTCTTCATAATCTTTTTTGCTCTCAGCTTGCAAAATTGAAGACCTGTTGATCAGGAAATAAAAATAAAAAACAAACTGAATATTTCTTAAACGAAGCAGGGGAAAGAAACGTTCATCAAGCTGTTGGCTTCAATTTGTTGATATATGCAATTCTTTATTCACTATAGCATTTATTCCTTGTCAAATCCCAAACAGAAAAACCCTGATGGACATTGCCCATCTATAATATTTATCTTTGGATTTTGGAACTTGGCATATTTCATTTGAGCTATGTTCTAGGGACAATTATCCACTGATATATCTCAGAGAAAATTTATGTTGTCTGAGCTTGTCTTTTGCTAATTTCTCTCAGCAAAAACCAGTAAGATTGCACAGAACAAGAGGAAGGTATCCCTATTACATTTTAGCTGAGGAGAAAACAGGCAGTTGGAAAGAAAAAGCAGGCAGATAACTTTTCCCTCTAACCTGAAAACAAGGATTGAACATACCCCTAACGTTTTAGAAAGAAAACAAGTATACAGCAGACAGCATTACACATGAAAATCTAAATACAGAATCACCTTCGGTGAGATGGACAACATATAAGTTTGACAAAGAAATAAAATGATAAAAAATAAGAAAATATATTTAGATTGCCACCTAGAGAGCAGCATTGAGTTCTGATTAAATAACTTGACTTAAAGTAATAGAGACTTGTCTTATACCTGCCAAATTTTCAATCTGGGAAAGGCAAGGATTTATTCTTCTTTCTTTCCCACCTTTCAAGGAAAAAATTAAAGGTAGCAGGAAATACTTTCTAATTGTTTCTCTATTGCTAAACACATATGTAAGAAGTGGTAAGAATACAAACTTTTTGCCATCAAAAGATGTTATTTGAAAGCAGTATCTTCTGTCTTCACAATCCACAGCCATTACCGAACAATTGTCTATATCCATTACAAGTCCTCCAGCTACTTCACCTCTTCCTTGGCTCATTAGGTTTCCACCCTGTGTGAAGTAAAACTGTCTGTCCCAACTGGAAGACACCAGCCCTGTTTTGCTGAAGGAAGAAAGGAAGAAAACTGGCTTAGTCCAACTTAGCAGCATCAAGTCTCCAATGAAAAAAGAAATAGGTATTATAAGCTTTGGACGGGGGATAGTTTCATATAATTGAATGCAGTTATACATAGATTATTTTGGTACAGCAAGAAATACCAAGAGAATATAAATAGTGCTTAACTAAATTTCTTAACATACTGTTTATCAGCAAAATACTATTGCTGTCACTCTCTCTAGTTATATACAAATATGTGTTTGTGTATGTGCCCACACACACAAACAAAGACTCCTTGTTTAGGGCTTTAAATATAGCTTCAAGATGTTGCCACCTTACATTCTTACTCCACAGCACACCTGTAGTCAAACCACAGGTAACAGTGTCCACGTTCATACAGCAGAAATGTTACTTTCATTCACTTCTTCTCAGACGGTCAAAAATATGATAAATATATTTCCCAGATGGTGAAAATATATTTATAGAAGGCTATTAAAAGTATGGGTAAAAATTATATTATGTCTGCTATTTCCACTAGCAATAATTTAAAGAACAATGAAATGTTGTAATGACAAAATATTTTGAGCCAGGATCCCCCCGAAAAAGTATCACTTGCAAACAAATTTTATTTTGTAGTACTACTTTATATACTATCTCCTGCTGACTTTAAACTCACTGGTGGAATTGTTGTGAGGATGAAATGGGGGAGGTCACTAGTGCTCCTCTGAGCTTTGGGGAGGCAAGAACAAACAAATAAGTTATCATAATCCCGAGAGAGATGCAATCTACTTTTAAAGCTGCACCATAGCCTGCCTCTTTTAAAGAGGAGCTGCTGCAACAAAAATAACAAATGAAGGAGCAGCTGTTCTCCCAGGTGGATATGTCACTTCCAAGGTTTCTGGCCAAACTACCCTGAGACAAATTAAATTATAATATATTGTGGCATAAAACATCGTAAACAAGATCATGACAAATCAGTACAGAATGCTACTTGATACTGGACATATTTTAAATCTTAAAAACTATGAACAACTACTAATTATTTTTACATACAACACAGTTTGCAAGACACCCCCTCCCCAATAATTTATAACCCAGGCTATTGAGACTTATGTGTATCTGAAATTGGTTCTTACTTTCTTGCATTTAGATAACCAGCCTTGCGAGTAAGGTTTCTTTGAACCAAAAATTTTGTAGTATCAGGATCTGGTAAATAAAGCGGATCACTGGCTATTTCCAAATCTTCTATAGTCTGTTGCATTGTCTCCACTTCACGTTCCATTTCCCTGCGAACGCTAAAACCAAAGGTTTTTTTTTTCATTTTATTCATATTAGCTACAAGTAATATTTTAAAATAAACAGCATTACTTTTAAGAGAGAAAAAATGAACTTACTCCTGCACGCTTGTCCCAATATTTGTTAAAAATTCTTCCAGCTGTTCAGAAAGGTTTTCTGAGCCCATTTTAAAGAAGTTTATCTTTTAAAAGAAAATTCAGATACTTATCAATTTACTTGAACTTATAAAAGTACATTTAATCTTAGATCTTTCTTTGGAAGCGAAAAATATAATCCACCTTTGTAGATGCAGATCATAAATCAGTTCAATCACAACATGTTTATAATTACTAAGGTTTTTCTATTAACAAATTACACTTATATGCTTATTTTTCTTCAGAGAGGTTAACAATTTAGTCCTGATTTATTTGGCTCAGGTCAAGCTTATTTATTTATCAAACTAATATAGCCCATCCCACACAAGGTTCATGTTTAAGTTTGCTAGTGTTTTAATATTTTGGATGCTAAAATATTTTAATGTAACATTCCAACATCTCCCCTCCACCACACATTTTGGAATTTACCTGAGCCTGCATATAGCCTAGTAAGGGTTCCAACATAGCAATTTTCTTCTTATACTGCAGTGTATTTAATGCACAGAAGTAATGCATCATAGTCTGATGTTGTTTCTTCCGAGAAGTATATACATCTTCTGTAGCTTCATATTTGACCTTAAAAAAAATTCTAATTCAGAGCAAGCACAATTTACTATTAAAAGGAACAATTTGCAATGACGTGAAAAAATATAAATTCATATATTTTTCTTTCAAAATACATTTTCTCTTCTACTCATTCTCTACTGAAGGGAGGTGTGTGTGTGTGTGTGTGTGTGTGTGAGAGAGAGAGAGAGAGAGAGAGAGGGAGGGAGGGAGGGAGGGAGGGAGAGAGGGAGGGAGGGAGGGAGAGAGAGAGAGAGAGAGAGATGCAGCACTGCTATTGTTGAGATCTCCATTTTGCCAGTTAATGGAGAAGATGTATAGAAGGATATCCCACTGAATAAAGACACTCATAACACTGGACAGGAACATATAGCTATATATATTTCATGAAAGATTAGTTGCATTCACTAGAATTATCACAGAATTTTTAAGATAACTGAAAAGCAACTTAGACTTTTTACATTACCATATCATAAATTCTAAATACTAGATTAAAGTTTAACAAACCTTCTCATTTTCTCTTTTTTTTGACAGTCGACTATATCTGGCAATCGCAGCATCATGATCTGAAAAAACAAGTTCTACAATATTTAAACAGTAGCTACAATCATTATAAATGTTTAAGGCAAAAAGCAACTACACTTCAGTGAAGCAGTAATTCAAGCAATTGAGCTAATTTTGCTTTTTTCAACAAAATGTTTTTATCGTTTCAAGATAAACAATATCTATTATCCTGATGCACTGATTATATCAATACGACATCCTCTTTTTATAATGTCCCATTAGAACAAGAGTTTACTCAACATAATTTTTCCCCAATTACCTTGCATACAGTTATCTAGGATTAGTTTCCCTTTTAATTTTAATTTTTTTAAATAGCAAAGTTAATCTTTGGAGACAGAAATCCCTTCATAAAATGTTAATCTTTACTGTTTATACTATTATAATCATGCAACATCAAATAAAAAATAAACCATGAATTTAATTTCTAAAGCATACTTTACCATTGCTGGAGATCTGAAAAACCTCTTTTAAAGTCAGAATTTCTGAAATGAATTTAAGAAAATGTGCAGTGTTACCGTAGTTCTGCTGTTTTAATATAAGATGAACAAGATTGGGTTTATTTATTATAGGTCTTCAGTTGGCCTGCATTTCAGGGACCACATGAATTGTTTTGTAGTAAAAAAAATAATTCCCTAAAATTATGGGATTATATACAATGACTGAGCTGTTTCTTCCTGTTTTCTCTTACGCTTCTTTGAAAAGCCTTTCCCCCAAAGTCAGAGGTTGTCTTTTAAATGCCATGTCATTTGAGATAGTAAATGTGCTGTGGCAGAACCTAACTATATGATTTTTTGAGGGATTTATAGGGTTTGGGCAGAGAAATACAAAGAATTTTTAACAACTAAATGCATCCCATAGGTCAAAACACAATAGCAGTACAATTCTACTCAAATTTAACCCTATTACTTCAGTAAAACATGCATAAGATTACAGTTTCATATTTCAAGAGGATTAATACACACAGATTACTAATACATAAGTATACAATTCCATTGAACTCAAGGGACTGGAGTACTCCATTCAGCTCAAACATACTGGACAGGCAGAGATAGATTTCCTCCCCCCTTGTTTTCTTCTTTCCATCCATTCATTTTTTGGGGGGGGGGGTGTTATTGTATAGATATATTATCATGTTCTTTTTCATTGTTTACTTTATTGTTCTATTATCTTCTGTTCTGTTTACACTTTTTCATTTCTTCCTTTTTATTGTTGTAAGTCACCTAGAATAGCCTATTATTTGTGAAATAGGCAATAAATAAATTTAACAAATAAAATAAATAATAATTGGAAACAAATAACCAGACCCTATGCTTTATAGGGGGCAACCCTCAAATAACCAGACCCTATGCTTTATAGGGGGCAACCAGCACCTTGAATTGCCCCCAGAAAGCCACTGACCACTGTAGTTTGTGCATCTGGGTGCAACATGAGATTTCTATTACTGTTTGTGTCACTGCATTTTGTACCCACTGTAGTTTCTGGATAGTCTATAAGGGCCACTTCACATAGAGCACACTGCAATAATCCAATCCTGAGGCAACCAGGATATAAATGGCAATCTGAAGGGCCGCCTGGTTGAGGAAGGATGCAAGTGGTACATAAAATAAACCTGTGCAAAGTTTCACCTGGGCATAGCAGATAAGCAGTCGCTGGGAGTTCAGGAGAGTTCCCCCAAATTGAGTACCAGTCTTTCCAAGGAAATACAGTTCTTTCCAAGAGCAATGATGGAAATGCCTCCACCAAAGGGGCCACTTAGTCTATTTTATTTACCCCATTTTTCAGCCCCTAAATGGATGGATAGATGGATGGATATAGGTAGACAGACAGACAGACATGACATAGGGACTGGCAATGTACCCACTCCAGATCTGCTCACTATTTCTCCCAACATCTCTCATTATCAGTCTTGCTGCCTTGAGACTGCTGGAAGTTGTAGTTCAGCAACTTCTGCAGGGCTATCACTTATTCACTCTAACTTTTATCATTCCCTTTTTCCTAAAACTGTTTTCAATGAGACAAATGTTCTTAAATTTGCATTAGATTTCAGGAGGCCACTATAGCTGAAATAAATATTAACTATTCTTATATAAGACTTTGTCCAGCAATCTGTTATCTTTGCGACAATTATTGTACCTTTTAGATCTCTTTCTTTGAACTGTGTGATGGGAAACATCATGGCATCTGCTAATTGAGTTGATAGTACCGCATGACAAGAACTGAGCTAAGAAGAAAAAAACAATTAAGTACACAATGTTGCATAAAAATATAAACATTTCTCATATTTCATTGTTGTTAGATACTTTAACAATGTTAATTGAAGCATGGGGTGAAGAAGCAGCAGAGCCTGACAATTTTATATCTGTTCTTTTTTGCATAAGTAGATAAAAATATTGTTTAGCATTATTTTAGCCTGATGTAATAATTTATTACATTCAAATAAGACCCAAAGAAGCCAATGTGACAAACCATGATACAACTTTCGTTTATAATCCTAATTTTTAGGCAGAATATGTCTGCATTTTGATATCTTCATTGAGAAAGGGTTGGTGCCTGCCATTCAGATTATGCCACTCAAAAAATGGTTTGTTGGGATCACTGTGTATTGTTTGAGAGAAAGAGAGATGATCTTGACAGCAATATGCAAGAATATATAAGCAAATAGGGTTGAACATTCCTTAAATCCTAGGAAGCAAGATTGTATTTGGAAGGAGGTCCAGACAAGCTCTTCCCTGATTCACTGAAGTATAGAAAAAAAGAGGAAGTAAAATATAATCAAGCTTATTAGATTTTATTATTATAGCCTATATCAATAAAATATAATTCTTATTCTCTTGTAGAGTTGATGTTATGGCCTAGTCTACGTAGTGTAACTGACAGTTTCCATGGTGTGAAGGTTGTGGACATCACATGTCATGTGTAGAACCTGCTTGACAATGATGCAAAAGAGGCAGCAATCACAGCCCACGCTGGCAGCAGTAGAATTGGAATGTATAATTAGCCAGTTCTGGAAACCAAATTTAGACTCCTAAATAGAAGATCAAAACCAGGAACACCAAGAGAACAGTCTTAGAAATGCTGTCTGTTCCATGTGTGCAGCCAACCAGATAGGCAGAGCTCAGAGATCTCAATTCAATTATGGCAGGATGGCTCCAGATGGAGATGCTTAGATTTGTTAGTCACTGGGAAACACTTCAAAACAAAACAAACCTGCGTAAAAGGAATCTAGGCTATTGGCATATAAAATCTAAAAGGTGACAGACCAGTTTTTAAATTAATTTATGGAAGGAAATCAACAGGTAGTGTAGAGGTCCCCAACCTTTTGGCCATCAGGGACCAGTTACGTGGAGAGAGGTTTTTCTGTGGACCGGAGGGTGCGTGGTTTTGTGTGCTGCCTGCATCCTGTGAATGGGGCTTTCCTTGTTTGCGCAGACTGGTTGCTGGCATGCTACAGCCTGGTACTGGTCCATGGACCAGGGGTTGGGGACCCCTGGGTAGTGGGTAACAATCAATTCAGAATGGTGTAAACATTTTTTTAAAAAATAGGATGAACATGGATGCTGAGCGGTCATGAAAACCAGAAGATAAAATGAGAATAAGACAGCCATGAAAAAAACTTAAGCCAACAACTCTTCAAAATTAAAAAAAAAAAGGAACAGGATGCATAGTTGTTTCAATTCAATGCTAGAAATCTGCAAAGAATGTTGTAATTCTTCTAATAATGGGGAACTTTGATTACCCTAATATAAACTAGGTATGTTTGTGCTTAGGTTATGACAAGGAGATCATAATAATGATCCTTTAGAACAGCTGATCTTGTACCCAAGTAGAGGGAAGGCAAGCCTAGATTTGATTATAAAGGGTATTATGGTTTAAATATTGTGGAACTGACAGGAAACAATAATCATAATACAAACATACAAACAGAAAGCATACAAACTGCTTTATCTGCAAAATCTAACACCATCCTGTTGATTATAAAAGGGAAAACTTCTAAAAAATGAAGTCTCTTATAAAAATGAAAGGAAAAATCAAGAGGGCCAAGCTTCATAATAATTTAGAAAAGTATGGCGATACTCTTGAAGAAGGAATGCAATAACCATGAAATAAATGTCAACTTAGTCTGGAACTTCCTGGAAAGGAAGAAGGGGGGGGGGAACCCTCAAGATGACCTTTCTGCATTCTGTTTGGTGTAAGAGGAGCAGAATGAAATTCTGACAAGCTTTTAAAAATCTGCTATTATACTCTATAAAGCAGAGTTCCAGCAGTCATACCTCTTTCTCCTCAGTCTGGTCTACCATTGTATATAATGCAATATTTTTTTAAGTATATCACATTTAAATGGGTGAGGGGAAAGAGTGTTGTGCTTACTAGACAATTTATTCTGAAATGGTTAACATTACAGCAAAAAAAAATAAACTTTTAGTTATATTGTAACTCCCTAATTCAGCCAATTATTATAACTCACCCCATGAGTTACCAAAAGGTTCACTATCCTTCCTAATGTCTCTGATCAAGACAAAATCTTAAAGAGGCTTTCAAAAACGGGCCTTCTCTTGGTTATTTGTTTTCAACCTCCATATGGCCCACAAAGACATGAAGAAGAGGCAGAAATAACGGTAGTGTATACAATTTCCTTGAACCTATTGGAGGTGAAACCAATTCCAATCATGCCATTATAGGATTTTCTTTCAAAATTCAAAAGTTCAGGAAGTGGGGAGAAGTGGTAGCCTTCCAGCTTTCTTTCTGACAAGTGGGAAGACTAGAAGCATGATTACAGCATTACCAATCACCATCCAATTAAATTGAACAGAATGGGGTGGCCAAGACATTTGTACTGGGCCAGGTTCACTGTGATTTGTGACAATGATAGCCTAAAAATAAAAAAGCAATGACATGGTTAACATAGAACTATGTTTGTTTGGAACTGATAAAGAATTCTTTTTGTGGAGTTATCTGAATCAGTTTGAGCATGTGGATCCTCAGGAAGTAAACAGAGTCCTCCATGCTGCTAGATCTGCCATCTGTGAATCAAATCCTTGCCCTACCCAATTGGTAAAAGCAGCTGAGACATGATAGAGATGACAGAGAATGGGCATGGGTGATGGCAATTGTATACTTCAGGAAGTAGTGGTGCTCCTGTCTTGAAAGAGGTAGTGGTGTGTCCCTGCCACAAGAAATCATCACTTCACCTAGCAACTGACAAATTTGTCATCCAGTCTCCACATTTCCTTTTTAAGGAAAGTTACTGGACCATGGTTATTGAGAATGAAACAATTATCTAGTTGAGATTTAGGTCTGGGCATCAGACCAAAATCTCATTGAGCATACTCGTTGATTATCTTTGATAATCTACAACGGAAATAGTGCAACTATTCTGTTTCTGTTGGATTTCTCAACAGCTGTGACTATGGTATCATCTTCAACCAACTATAACTGTTGGGATGGAAGGGATGATCTTCCTGAGTGGGCAATTCTAGTTGGTGATGGTAACTGGGGAGAAGTCAAGTCTTTGGCCTCAGAAGTTCCAGAGGTTTAATCCTTTTTCCTACAATTTAATATCTACATGAAGCTGTTGGAAGAAGTCATCCATTAACAAGTAGATTATCTATTTTCTGATGATTTCCAAATATGTATCTTTATTCTGAGCCAGACAAGGCATGTGGTAGTACTTTTGACCAGGTGCCTGAAATCTGCTAGGACCTGGATAGAGAGAAAGAGATTCAGATTGAATCCTATTAAGACAGATTTGGAGCCAGGGCACTTTGATTTGGAAGCTAAGTAAAACTTTGATCCTGTATGGGGCAACATTTCTGCAGATGGAGGTGATATGTAACAAATCTCTCCTCCTAAACTTATGACTTCTGTGTGAACAGCAAATACATTTGCAAAGTTACATCTTTGTACTATCGACAGTTCAGAAGTAGAAGCTTTTACTCATTGTTACTCATTCCACTGTCACTTTGTGGATGGATTATCCCAATGTATACAGAATGGCAACATTTTCTGAGAGCCACAAAAAAGGATCTTCTGAAAAGCATTTGGGAAGTAATGAGATTATATTACCCTAAATAGTGAAGCCTCAGATTGATTGGCTATAATGACATTATTTCTGTTTTTTAGTCTTTGATTTTAATATTCTAAACTGTTCAGTCTTTAGAAATGGAGTGATATAAAAGTTACATCCATGGAAAATAGGCTGGTAGATTTTTAGAAGGGAAGACTTACCTCATCTATCACTTTGGCAAACTGCTGAAGAGTAGAATTCATAACTTCATCATCACCACCCAAAGGAAAGCGCTACCAAAACAAAACCCCATTACTTTTTAAATTCCATATTTATTGATTTTTTCACTCTAAAAAATCACAGTAACATTCCAAAGGCCTAATAAATCTACATATTTAACATTGCTAGAAAATAATAGAGAATCTCAGAGCACTGTAAGTTGCTAATGCCTGTTAAATTTATATATATATCGTGTTGTTATATTTAAAAGGCATAGAAAACACTTGTTGGCCAGGGAAATTGTGCGCATGCACTCACACAGACACATTTGCATATCCACAAAGTCTAGTAAATCATGGTGTTAAATTAAAATATGACCTTTTGATAATAAAAAAAATTGTCTATTTATGGCAGTTTCAACTTATTTTTATCTGCTTTCCCCTTTCTGTGTTTCTATTCGTTATTTTCTGTTTTGTGTTGTTATGGTTAGATAAACCTCTCATGTTTTAATTAGTCCATGCATGTTTTAATGTCTTATTTGTTTGTAAGCTACCAAGAGGTATTTGATTGTTGCAGGATAGATATGTGATAAATGTGTGATCTTAATAATAAGAACTGAGCAGAAATAAAGTGTAAGAGGTCTTGTAAGAATAAGAAAGTGGAAAAATGAATTTAATTTCTATGTGCTAAGCCAGTGTTTCTCAACCTTGACAATTTTAAGGCATGTGGACTTCAACTCCCAGAATTCCACAGCCAGCATTGCTGGCTGTGGAATTCTGGGAGTTGAAGTCCACATGCCTTAAAATTGTCAAGGTTGAGAAACACTGTGCTAAGCTATTGTTAAAACATATAGGAGGAATTTATATAAAATGCTACAAACTAGGCAAAAACAGGTTAGGGTAGTCTGTAATTAATTCTCAATGCTGGAGAATCCAATCACTATCCCAATACGTTGTAAAAATCACATTCAACTTGGATCATTAACCACATTAACCCATTCAACTTGGATCAGAACACAGCATTTTCATTTTATAACTGACTCTACCTGCTTCTCATATTCTTTTAGAAGCTTTGAAGTCAAATGTGTTGCTGCACTGAGTTCATTCTGAAAAAGAGAATTTATTCTGATTTTAAAAAGATTTTTCAAATATAAATGACAACAGAAGTACAATATAAAATAAATTAATTAGAGTTAAACAGTGTTTCTTTAACTAAATGTGTATGCTTTTGTAACGCAATTATAATTTCCCATTTTTAAAATGGAATGATTGCAGACAGAGTCATAGAATACCACACATACTTTTAAAACAGTAAGCATGCATTTATCTAAACAAACAAAAATTAATCAAATTCCCAGAATTCTGAATGACCTATCACTCCTAATAGAAAATAATATCACTCTCTCTAATAGCAAAAATTAAATTGCACTAAAAGATTTGGAAGTAAAGTCAACAAGCAAAAAGAAGAGTGCTGCATATCTGTAGGATCCTTAATCTGTGCAGATTAGATTCAAAATTACTTACAGAAGAGAGAAAGTTTTTAAGAGTACATGCAAATGTAGGTTTTCATGCAGGAAGCTGAAGGGAGGCCACAAATTATCAACATTATCTTAAACTTGCACACAGCTTAATGATAAGCTGTTTTTGTGAGATAAAAAAAGATTTCCTTTTTAATGACATATCTTGGGACATATTTTCAGCATAAATCATCTTATGTTTGGTTTACCTGTTAGGCAATCATAAAGGCTGACTGCTCAGGAGATAAATTAGACTGTTGCAGTTAGGCTTAAAGTGAGGTTTCCAATTTGATGTTAAGATTTATTAAGAATCTGTCCAACATAACTATATTATACAATACATATAACAACTTAAATTATTGCATAAAAATCCTTATACCTATATATATTCTTGTTAGAAACTTCTGAAGAATTTATAAGCTATTTATTCATGTTATTTGTAAACAATTAACATGGAAATATTAAAGGAAAAGTGTATTTCTTTTTTTTCTTTTTCTTTTTTTTTGACATTCACATATATTTCCAACCAGCTACTAAAATCCCAGGAATTAAAATTTGGTTCCAGGTAGTCTTTGATTTACAATCACTCATTTAGTGACTGTTCAAAGTTACATTGGCACTGAAAAAGATGGCTTATGATCATTTTTCACACTTATAACCGTTGCAGCATCCCCGTGGTCACTTTATCAAAATTCAGATGCTTGGGCAATTGGCCTATATGATGGCTGCAGTGTCCCGAGGCCATATGATCACCTTTTACGACTTTCTAAGAAGCAAAGTCAATTGGGAAGCCACATCCACTTAACAACCATGCTACTAATTTAACTGCAGTCATTCACTTAATAACTGTGGCAAGAAATGTCATAAAAAGGGATAAAATTCACTTAACAACTGCCTTGCTTGGCAATGGAACTTTTGGGCTCAAAAGTCAACAACTACCTGTATAATCATATCAGTGATAAAAATGTGGAGAAATGATTTAAGGTTAATTAATTTCTGCATTTTACAGTCAAATTACCTGTGCATCATAAATTCGGTGCATAGCTTTATACAGCTGGTTGATATATCTGGAAATTGCAGCAGCATCTTCTTCAAATACACCCAGCAAAGATCGTGTCTAAAAAGAAGATAACGTAACTTTTATAATATTGCAAGTACACTATTGCAGCTACATTTAGTAAAGTTTTATTTCATGTATGGGTAAGACAGAATCAGAATTCAAAAAATTTCTAAAAGTTACCTGGCAGAAAGCATTTTTAAAGTCTATATGCACTTCATTAAAATAAAGTATGCTGGCATGGTAACAGAATACTCAAGTTCCTTTCAACAAAGTAGTTCATTTACTTTTCTTTTTATGACCAACAATGATAGGGCATAATAATTAAATATTTGAGCTTTACATTTTTGCCAGTTATAAAAATTTAATACTATACAGTTTAAATTTATTTTATATTGAACTTGAAATCTAGATACAAGATAAAATTTCCTTTGAGGCAAGCTCTATACTGCTTACCACATAGATATGTCAGAGTGCTGTTTCTTAGCTAAAATAAATTTAAAAAATAAATATATTCTCTAAATGATAAAGTACAATTCAAGTTAAGCTTTACAATATTAAAATACCATTTAATGCTGGCTTTTCAAACTGCTCCTCACTGACTTTTGTGGAAACTGAACAGTAATAGAATAAGAGTACTGTCCTTTTACAGATGGATAGCTGGTTATAAATACTGTAGAAACAGGAGATAGCTAAAAGCAATCCTTCCAAGAATCTAACAACAGTTTATAGAATTTACATTTGTATGAATAGAATGAATAGACAAGAAATTTTCCTTTTAAATTCTCATTAACCAATTGATAATGATTCAAGATACTAAGTATATTTTGGGAATGAATACATACACTGTGAATTCCTAGTTTTTTAAACCTTAAAAAGTCTTACAGAGAATAGGATCCTCAGGGTTCTATGAAACAGAAAAACTAAAGTGCCTCTCTTCAAAGACAATTTACATTTCCAGTTATAAGACAATCTTCAGGAGGCATTCCTTGTGAAATATTTTATTTGGGCTGACCACTCTAGGACATAGAATGCTGAAGTAGAGGGGGTACACATAATGTAATACAGAGAGCTTTGCTAAATAATGTTGGCTGGTATTTCCAGCGACAAGTGTTGTCCCAATTATGGAAATTACAAACAACTGGACTAATTAGCTAGTTTTAATGCAATTTTAAATTAATTATATTTACAGGATTACAGGAATTTCCACTTTCTTAAAAGCAACAAAACTGGGATGCAAAAATCCACTAACAATAGATTGCATCAAAGAGATAAAGACAACTTTTAAGTTTGCAGCCTAGATCTGAACGCTCTACCTTTCTATCCATACAAGCAATCACATTTAAAGTACATGCTTAAATTTCAATCTTTGCTTTTAATAAATGATTGAAAGAATCAACTTCTTGAATTCCTTTTTCTAATTGAAAACTCATTCTGTGCCTTGTGAAACCAAAATGACATCATTTATAAACATTAACAAAATATCAGTAGGCTTGGGGAGATCCCAAAATTTGCCAAAGTATTAAAAAAGGCATTTTTAAGGAAAACATTTTTTAAAGAGTGGGAGAAAATTAAATAAAGTAATGAACTCAATGACAATATTTTCAATGATCAAAGCCTACTGAAGATCTAAGTGGTGGGGTGCAGAGGAAGAACAGTGAAGAAGCAGATAGAATGGAATATTCCAGAAAAGGACATGACTTGCTGGATTGTATTTTAAGTGGAAGCATCCCATACTGCAATATTCTTGCAGTACTGCAAGTCTTATATTCTGCTTTTCTGTTTATACCGATGCTGAGGAGGTGTTTAGAGATATGGAACATATATAGGGATCAACTTCTGCAGAATCTAACTAGGATTATGAATTGCATGCAGCACCTAGGTATCTTCAGCTGAACAAATAGTATACTCAGAATTCTTGAAGAAATAGAACTTTCCCTGGTGTTCTTGGCACATAAAGAACTGAATCAGTATCATAGTTATTTTAGCAGATAAGACTTGAAGCTGATTACATCAACTTGGAGTTAAAACCTATTTTACCTGTTCCTAACAGGAGGGGAGGCAGGATACTTTATATTATAGCAACCAAATGATACTTAATTGCTTTTTAACATAAAAACAATATGTTTTTGTATAAAAATAGATTAGCAACATTTGCATAACAAAGTAAAGCAAAAACATTAATCTGGATCTAATGCTTGAAAGATTGAGGGCAATAGAAGAAGGGGACGACAGAGAATGAGATGGCTGGATGGAGTCACTGAAGCAGTAGGTGTGAACTTAAATGGACTCCAGAAGATGGTAGAGGACAGGAAGACCTGGAGGAACATTGTCCATGGGGTCGTGATGGGTCGGACACGACTTCGCAATTAACAACAACAACAACAACAATGCTTGAACACGCTAACTAAACTTTTGAACAAGTACAACTAAGGATAAAATGTATTTACTACTGCATTTATTATCTCATATCTGAATATCTGAATTTAAAAGTGATAAATATTAATATAATAAATAAGTCAATAATACGCAACACAAATGTTAAGTATTTTTCTGGAATCCTTCAAGTTCCACTAAAGCAAATAAAAAGGTAAGCAGGGAAAGGTTCCTTCCCTGTAGAGATCCAATTGCTGAATCTGAATTGTTGTAAACAGTGTGTTAACTTTGATCTCAAGGAGTGTTTTAAATGGGCAGCTTTTAAAAAATTGGAGTTGTATGCATATTTACTAAAGTAATGTCTTTAAATGATCACTGGCACTTGCAGAAGAATATGCTACTAAAAACTGGGTTTTAAAGAATTCTCAAAAGTGGGGGAATGTAAAGATTAACAGAAGAAAGATGTAAAGAGCCGAATACCATGTAAATTCAGGGCATTATACCAGTATATTTAAAAACTGAACCCAATCCCACAATAAAGAATATTTTACCAAAGCTGCATCTATCTTGCCTATCAATATAATCGCTATAGCTAAGACCATAAGAAGACTGAAAAGTGATCCTCAGATACAGTGTACAACAGATCATAGGAAGTTTTTAAAATATTTCCCTACTTCATTTTTTGCAGCAATTGATGAGATACTGGTCAATACAGGTGGTCCTAGACTTACAACAGTTCAGTTAGTGATCATTCAAAGTTCTAACAGAACCGAAAAAAGTGAATTATGACCATTTTTCACACTTACACCCATTGTAGCATTCCCATAGTCACATGATCAAAATTCCGATCCTTAGCAACTGGCTCATATTTATGATAGCTGCAGTGTCCTGGGGTCATATGATCACATTTTGCAACCTTCTGACAAACAAAATCAATGGGAAAGCCAGATTCACTTAACAACCGTGTTACTAATAACTGCACTGATTCACTTAGCAACTATGGCAAGAAAGGTTGTAAAATGGAGCAAAATTAATTTAATGAATGTTTCACTTAGTAACAGAAATTTTGGGCTCAATTGTGGTCATAAGTGGAGGACTACCTATACTTCATAGGAGTATGAAGCACTCCTATCCAGGCACAGTACCAACTTTTAATATAGAAACACCACAGAAGAATTTTATACATCTTCACTATTTCTTGGAGAATAAGTACAACAGAAATAATTTCATAATTATTCATAATCGTACCTTACATTCAATCCTAAATATTCAGAGACACTTAAATATGCTAATTACAAATAATTATGCATACAGTACTTGACAAATGCAAACAGGTTTTAGTGGTAGACAAGTTTATTAATTCTTGATACTTCAAAGCTACTGACAAAAATCATCTGACTGAATTCGGGTGAAGGAGGGTGTGCCGGAGAATCTGAAATAATTACACAATGTAATTGTGTACAATCAATGCTCCCTTAACTTCGGCAAAAGTAACAAAAGTGCTAGTGAAGCGCTGCAGCACCACTCCACAGTCTCTCCCACACCGGCCCAACAGAAAACAGCCGCGGCTCCCTGCTGCTGCTCTGCAACATTTTTCAAAGGAACCCGCATCTTTTACAGGCGAGATCAGGTAGCGCAGACCTGCACCGGCCCTGCCGGTTTTTAAGGCGGAGCCCTGACCTCCCCGCGGAGGGACCCGTAGGAAAGACGGGGGTTGCTACGCATCTCCTCCCCTCGCCCGCCCGGCCCGCCCGGATGGCTTGAGCCCTTCTCGGCTGTTTACGGCCTCCAAGCCGCGGCGGGGCGAAGGAAGCCTCCTCCCCCAGGGCTGGAAGGGGCAGAAGGGGCTCGGCCACCCTCCCTCCCTCCCTCCCTCTGCCACCTGCTGCTGCGCGGGCCACTCACCTGAGGACTGTCCTCTAGCGCCTCTTCGATAGGCAGTTTGTCTATCCCAGGCATGTCGGCGGTTGAGTCTTCCCAGGCCAGGCCAAACCCTCACCGCACCCAGCCGACGGACGTGCTCCCGCCTTCCACCGCCTTCCTCAGCGCACCCCGACAGGCCCGCTCGGCTCAGGAAATCCCGCCTCCGCGCTTCCCCGCGACCGCCCGTCCGGACACCCAGCAGACGTCAGTGAGGCTGTGCATTTTCCTATTGGCTGGAAGGGCGGCCAGTCTGGCTGGCGAAAAAGGGGCGGGTGCCTGTCAGCCTCGCGGGGTTTTGGTAGGAGGGGGCGAGGCGGACACTTGTGGGGCTTTGGTCCTGTCGGAGGGCATTTTCTGGAGGGCGTAGAGTCACGCCTGTATATGCTCCATGTGGCACTGCACCCTGGGCTCCGTTTCTGTACGGGTCCTCCCTATTGTTGTGGTTGTCATGTTGCCATGATTCATCTAAAATGCAGAGTGGGAATTGGATCTCACAAATATTAAGATAGCACTGAGCTCATTTAGGGCTGATTGACAAGAGCTTAGTAACCCACTTAGAGCAAATGACTGCTGGGTGAGAATGTTTAACTGGGTATTAATTGACTTCTTCAGAAAGACGAATCTCCGCTTGAGTTTTCCACGCTGGTTATTTTTTCCGGTTTATGGAAGGCGTGAATTGATTCTGAAAAAAGCCATACGTCATTCTCAAAATGCTTACTGAATCTCTGCAGTGATATTTGGGGCCTTGCAACAGTGTTTCAACTATAGACGGTCTCTTTTTAAAAGCAACAGGGACTTACGAAGGAATTATGGAAAATGTCCACTTTATTTGCCTTAGATATAACTGTTGCCCTTAAAATGTCCCAGATGACTATGTTTATTATATTCTTTTGGAATTGGGTTGTGCGAAAGGGACAGAACATAGCACTTTAACAGCTGGCAGCTTTTCAGTGATCTTGGTAGTGGATAGATTGCATGATTTGAAGTACAAACGGAAGCAACAGTTGCATAATTAAACTTTTTTCTACTATTATTGCTATTAAAACTATGGTGTCTACTTCCTTTGTCATATTTTATTTTCCTCTCTTTTATATTAGCAATGACTTTAGGACAATTTTAGTTTAATTTATCTTTATTTGTACAGCTGCCCATCTCACCAAGCAACTCTGGATAAGGAACAAAATTTAAAAAATAGAAGCAATTACAATACAAAAATTAAAATGCATAGCAGCCAAGATTAAATCTCTCACCAAGAAACAGATCTGTAGTTTATGCCAGCCTTTTTTTCTGCTTTATTGCTTCCCTGTCAATCAGGGAATTCTTGTAATACTCTAAAATGGTTGGTTAATGAACACATTAATGAGAGCTTGTTTGGCCCGTGATTAAGACACCAGACTTGAAACTGGGAGACTGTGAGATCTAGGTCTGTATTAAGTCATGAAAGCCAGCTGTATGACTTTGCGCCGGTCATTCTTTCTCTGCCCAGTCCACTTCCCAGGGTTATTATTATGGGGAAAATAGGAGGAGGAAGGAGTATTAGGTATGTTCACTGCCTAGAATAAAAATAAAGGCAGGGGAAAAAATAAAAATAATTACATCTCCTTCCAGTTTATTATCAATTGTGCACAGTGTTTAATCCAGGTTTATTGCTTACTGCATTTTTCAAACCTGAAATGGTTGACATTTTGGGTTTATACAAATGGACTTGTAACTGATGATAATTTTTAAGTATACCTCTTTTGGAAACTGTCAGCCAGGCAAAAGAGTGGGATCAAGCAGGGAGTTACACTGGAGCCTGTGCACAGCTGCAAAAGACCTAGGACTGCCCCCCCCTGCCCCCCCCCCCATCCATGGAACTTTATCTCTTTGTTCTCAAGGAAGGGCAAGCAGTATGGTGAAATTCTTGTATTATAGGCAGAATACACTAAAGTAGTTAAGATGAACCTTTCATGTGTGGATCTTTCATCTTGCTTGCACCTGACAATATTCTAAATTTCTGGAAATCTCAAATGGACAATAAGGAACAGGCAATAAGATAAGCCATAAACTTTGTTTGGCAAACAGCAATTGAGCTGTTCAGCTTCACATGCTGTACGGAGTTTAAAAATACTTCTTGATTTACTTTTATATAATACTATTGAAATATTGATTTCACAAAAAGGTTAAACTTCAGAATTAGAAATGAAACCAGGGATGAAGAAATTGTATTTATCCACATAGATGGTGATTTATCTAAATAACAGCTGAATGGTAATGGTTATCCTTTTGAAAATTACATGGATTGAATACTTTAAGAATATATTGTTTTATAGGTGAACCAAAGTCATAAGACAAAGAATGACTTCAGTATCAAATATTTATTATATATCATATGAAGTAACTTGCAAAGATAAGCCCTTTAAAAAATAAATTATTAACTAAGATGTATTTACTAAGTTTTTATATTTTTTTGTATTCTACTTTTTCCCTGTTTAAATATACCATGATAGCTAGGCTGCCTGATATTTTACTACACTGGCAACGGTCTAACCTTTCTTTTAAAATATATAATATGAGGAAAAGTGAAGCAATAAAGTAGATTACATTCCCAGCATAAAATCTACTATTTGCAGTTTATTCTTAATGCATATCTATCTGGCATTTTTACAGACCAGAGTAAAATTCCTAAACTACTAATGGAACCATGCAAATATGAACAGGAAGGTGTTAGGCTTTATTCAGCCCCCATTAGTTATTTTAGACCTCACTGATTTGACTATCATAGTCTCAGGATAAAGCAAATATGCATTATTGCTAGTATAGTGTCACGATAAACCTATATGTATTAGTATAGCATCTTGGCTTGAAAATTAAAAAGAATTGCAATCAAGAAGCTTAGTTTGATTTCTATCCTGTTTTGCTATATGTTCATGGCCCACATTTATTGTAATGGTAAGAAAATATTTGTGCAGCAACAGCCCAGAGAAGATTAAGAATGTGTATGCCCCATTCAGTTTCTGTATCTATTCATTTCCTTTCAGGCAGAGGCTTCACAACAGAGCTCCCTCATGTCCAACAAGCATTCTTTTTCCAAGTCCACAACTTTTCTCAGATGTTCTGGAGATGAAGCATAAGAATGGAAAATTGGCAGACTCAAAGGGAGAATGTCATGTGGTCTTCAACATTAGTTCAAAATCCCTTTATAAATGTGGTTCGACTTCCAGCAAAAGTATCACTTCTCCGCGTCTGGCTTGGCAGACGGAGAAAGAGTGATGGGGAATAGAAAAATAACCTGATCCCTGGCCAATATCTGGAAAATGTTGACAAAAGGAATTTCCACTCTTGTTTTATTGAAAAAATATTTCCCTTTTTTCCCTTCTATATAATCCATTTGCAAGGCATTCAAATTATCAACTAAACTGTTAACTCAGGGCTCTTCAAACTTGGCAACTTTAGGACTTGTGGACTTCAACTCCCAGAATTCCTCAGCCATCCAGGACTGGCTGAGGAATTCTGGAGTTGAAGTCCACAAGTCTTAAAGTTGCCAAGTTTGAAGACGTGTGTTAACTTTGACCGTTTTACTTATTTTCTTAACTTTCATCTTTTAGACTAGTAACAATTAAGTCCTTTCCAGTTAATTAAGGAAGACTTCATTATTTGCTCTAAAATAGGAGTTCATGAACACTAGATGGCAACATTACAGAGCTGTACTGCAGTTGAATGTATTGTTTCAACAAAATATAGTAATTATTTGTTTATAAAGGAAGACCTGGCAAAAAGGGAACACAACCACTTTATTTTTGCAATATTTGTTTTGCTTCTTACAACATTTCTAACAATACATTTGAAGACTGCCCTTTGAAACAGTGGTTTTACCAAGAATATTACCTGTTCCCAGATAACATAGTAGGTTTCAGATTCATCAGTACACACATGTGCCCTCTCTCTCTCTCTCTCTCTCTCTCTCTCTCACACACACACACACACACACACACACACACACACACACACTTTGTGTCAAACATTGCCCACCACTAGAAACACAGTTAAATTTGAACTACTTTCCATTGATAAAAAATGTTAAGGTCTTTCAACTCTGAAGCACTCATAAGATCGAGGAGATGCTTGAATGTGGAGTAGGTAAAAACTAGGCAAACCCAGGAACAAAAATTGATAAAGAAGAAAAGAGTGTATTTGTCCAAATATAGGATAAGCATTTACAGGAAATAATCTAATAAATATATGTGCACTATCCCTCATAGACACAACAGTGACCAGGGTTTGGAGAATTATGGTATATTTCTGGCCATAGCTTGCTAAGACCCAATGACCTATGTTGCTAGCAGGAAACTAGGTAGACTACTGTTTTAAAGCTTATTTCTGAGTTTACTTCTCAGTTGTTTCTTGATAGAAGGATAGAAAATTGATAATTCTCCAATATGCTTATAAACCAAATCAACATTAATGGTCTTCTCAATTTTTAATGTACAGCTTTAACATACAAAAACAAAAAGACAAATGGGGGAAAAAATCCAAACATGCAATAATAATAATAATAATAAACAGTTGTTTTAAAATATTGTACATTACATTTGACTGCAGAGCATAATTTTGATCAGTTTTTCCATTTTGTCTATGTTTCAAAATTAAAAATATCAAAGATTGTAAATCTGGAGTGATGCAACTGTCCCTTCATTTTGTTGTTGAATTAATCTCTTCTTAAGAACAAAAAAACATACTGAATGCTGTATTTTTTAAAACTTTGGTTTGGAAAAAAAAAAGGAAGTCTTTACTCCAAAGTTCTTGCAATACTTGATGTCTACCTTAAAATATTCAGTCACTCATACCTTGGTCAGTTCCCATTTGAACTATTGGAATGTGCTCTACATGGGGCTGCCCTTGAAGACTGTCCACAAGCTACAACTGGTCCAGAATCCACCAGCAAGCTGCACTAGCTCTCAGTTTCCTTCTAGAACCAATTCTGGGTGCTAGTTATCACATTTAAAGCCCTAAATTAGACATGTCAAACTCGTGACATCACGTGATGTCACACGACGTATCGGGATTGTTTTGCCATTGCCGGCAATGGGGTGGGCGTGGGTTCCGCGTGATGCGTCCGGCCCGGGAGCCGGCAGTTTGACACCCCTGCCCTAAATAGAATGGAATCAGGTTATTTGCAAGACTGCTTTTCCCTGAGAATATCTACTCCCATCCCACCAGATCACATAAGATAGGCATATTTTAGACCCCTTCCCTGAAAGGCTGCCTAGGAGGTGTGGCTTTTCCAGGGCTGCTCCTACCTTGTGGAACATGTTCCCCTCATATAGCACTTGCAGCGTCCCTATGAATTTGTTGTAGCTGAAGCCCATGAAGTTGCAGCCTTATCATGAACTTTTGGTTGTTCTCTACTGAAGGACAAAACCTGACCTTATTTTCCTAAGTTAGCTTGCTGCCTTATCACTATCACAAAATTGTTACATATCAGTTTGGAATTCAGCAAATTGTCATGGGGAAGTCTGGGTGCTGCATTATAGAATATGATTTGTAAAGCACAATGGTTGGATCCAGCAATCATTCTAAATTCAGACCAGACTTTTTCCAGCAAGCATGAAAAAGAATGGAAAAATAAAATAACCCTGAGATAAACAGAGCAAATATCTTTGCTCTTATGTTTGTAAGCTGCCCAGAGTCACTGAGAGTGATTTTGGTGGCCATATAAATTTTAATAAATAAATAAAGTTATTGGTAAAATTCATTATCTCCACTGACCTTTTATAAATTTCATTTGCCATAACAATATATTGCAAATTAGGATGAAAATAACCATATTTAGTCTCACTGAGCATCAGTAAAACAGGTTATGGACTGGCTTTTTCTAAAACCGCATGGTTTCTGGCTTTGATTTTTATGGGATATTTCATACACCATCTGATGGATTCCTCCAAGAATGCTAACATAACACTACCTTTGGCAAGTTGGGTGACATCCAAGTTTGATAAACAAACACAAACAAATGGCATCAAATTAAATTCTGAGCTAAGAAAATAGAGGAGCAGACCTTTTTACAGTATTTCATTCACGTGTTCTCCTGTATAATCTAACCACTTGGAATTACTGAATTCTGACAACACTGACAGCCCATTGCAGTCTTATGCCAAAGACTATTGTCATCTTAGTGAGGATGTTCATCATTACATATGCATATGAAAAAGCAAATACTTTTTCCTCAGGATTACCCTAATAGCATTAAGAGATTATTTTTAAATTTTCATTGGAACAAAATGCACTTAAATGAGATTACTTATTACTTGACTGGTTTCCTATTCTGCTGTTTTGTTTAGGTAAATGAAGTTCATAGGAATATTATTTTAAAAGCAAAACTGTCACCACCCAAGCCCTGATTTTATACATTAATGATTTCAAACAAAAGAGAAGTGTTATACTTGTGCATTGGTGCTTTTGAAAAAGTTAAGTCTGATACTCTGGTAACAGGCGATAACACTTTTTGTTCTTCCTGGTGTCCTCCCTCCTCCATTAGTTGCTAATTACTTGGAAACAAATAAACAATTAACTCCTCTAGCCTCTTGGTGGGAGAATCTTCATTGACATGCTAAAACTTTCTAATAAAAGATTTTAATTAATGACGTGGCAAATCCAACCCCCTTGTTGCCAAAGCTATAAGAAAAGACCTGTAAGTAAAAGCTGAATTATGGCGTGTGGAGGTTGGCAAAAGAATGGCAGGCCGATCGTTTTATGCTCATAATGCAGCTTCTTATAATCATCAGAATAAATTCAGTCTTGGGGAAGGCAAAAACACTTTTTCGTTTTCCATTGAAAATATTTTGGGATTAGAGCGGGAAAAAGATGGCACTCCAGCTGCAAAACCCCACAGGCCATGGGTGGATAAAGGCAGTGATTTAGGTAAGACGGAAGTTAAGATTCATTTCAATATTTTCTTCACCTTTTAACTGTGTTCCTTAGCTTTAAATTATATAAACCACATTTAAAAGTCAAACTGTAAAGAAAATCAGATTGTTGTGTTTCAGCTCTGTCTCTGAATTTAAACTACTGTATAACTAACATGTTGCTAGTTATTGTGTTAAAAATGTTTGTGACTTTTCAGGAAAAGATTGTTTGCCCTGCCTGCATCTCTCTTCAATTTCCTGTGCACTCCCTTTGTATAATACAAGCAACTGCCTAAAAGCTGAAGAAAGAGTTTTGAAATGTGAAAACTATTTCGCAGTCAATGAAAGATTTTCTTACAAAAGGGAATTGAGTTGGTACAGAGGTAGGAGGCCAAGGACTGCATTCACTCAAATCCAGGTAGGGATTTAGCCCATTTAATCTATTCATGCAGCTAAGAATGGCTGTTTTGCTTCCTGCATTCTTTAATAAGGGGGCATTGATTAGAAAGAATCCAGCAATGCCTGTTTCACTAGAATCTGTACAATCATACATTTACTGAATAAAAAGATCCACAAATGTTATATCTAATCAGCATCCTGAGCTCAAAATAGCTTAATTGATTTCTATTGATTTGAAATATTTTAGAATCTTTAGTAAAAGGTTTGGCTTTATCACGAATGCTTAAAATATGTAATTATTTTGGCAATGAAAACAAGTAAATAATAGAGTTTTTGTCTAATCTCTTTAGATAGAAATACTGGAAAATGTTTTCAAAGTGAATTCTTATCCTGGCATTGATGTTAGAGAAGAGCTGGCTGAAAAATTAGATTTAGATGAAGACCGGATCCAGGTGACTTTACGCTGTGCATTTGTGTATTTATGCTTGTATTACTGGAATCTCAATTGTTACATCTGCTTAGCAAGAGTCATAATAGATGGGAACAATAATAACGGCCAATATTCTGACCCTGACTGAAGAAGTTAACAATACTAGTTTGCGTTGAAATGTTGTATTTTTTATTTTTAATAAAAAATAATTCTATTTATGTTTGCAGCAATACCTAGATAATAAGGAAACACATTCCTTGTACGTATCAGAAAAAAACTCTGATGCTAAGACCTAATAAGTAGGATTCATATGGAATAAGTTATATATTTTTTTCTGAAGTACGGTATTTGGTTCACATATCACATTAACAGATGTTCTAAACAAACCACAATGGTTTCTTCTAAGTAACACATTAAGCCACAAATAAGCTACCGGTAACTAAACTTTGGCTTCATGCAGTGTATGAAGCCTAAAACACTGAGTGGGATTTGAGATGAGAGTGTTATAATTCAGCGATGGTTCCCTTCTGATGTCTTAGAGCAGAAGTCCCCAACCTTTTGGGCACCAGGGACTGGTTACATGGAGAGAGGTTTTTCTGCGGACCGGAGGAGTGGTGGTGGTTTGTGTGCTGCCTGCATCCTGTGTATGGGACTTTGCTTGTTTATGCAGGCCGGTTGCTGGCATGCTGCGGCCCAGTACTGGTCCACAGACTGGGGATTGGGGACCCCTGTCTTAGAGTAAGGCTGGAAAGACTCTTCTATATGAGTTAATAGGATCAAGTCTCACTCAGGCAGACAACTTTATTCTTTATAAGCAGCTTCTTGTATTTTTGCCTGTTGGAATATTATTAACATTATAGTTTTAACCTCATTTACCAAAAGCTTCTTTTTAGGGTACTGTATTATTAAACATGTATTTTTTTCTCTCAATTTTAGATCTGGTTCCAAAATCGCAGGGCAAAGCTGAAAAGATCCCATAGAGAATCACAGTTTCTAATGGTGAAAAATACTTTTTCTCAAACAATTATAAAATGAAAAGAAATGTATAGAATGCATCATTTTACTGTAGTACATGAATTCCTCATAAACCACAATGTGTTATCAGAGACTTATCATGTTAAAATAGGTTTCAATGTTATTTTTTAGATGAGTGTAATGATTTTATTGTAAAAGTAAACAATAAATGTTATTGTTTCATGACTCATGTGATGAAAGCAGATTTCTCTAACTAGTTTAATAGGTATTTTCAGAAGGAAAGAAGACAAAACTCTGCTGTTTTTGTAGCTCACTGTCTTGGTGATGTATCATTGAAAAATTATGAAAATTTCACAAACCTCAACACAGCATCATAGGAGGTTCTATATACTGATTTTCTCCATATCCATGCCAGTGACCTCTAAAATGCAATGTATAGGAATCTGGAATGCAATCCAAAAAATTCATATGGAAAACTCATTATCCAAATTTCAGTACCTGCAGGGAATTCTGCCAAGGCAGAATAATTCCTCAGCAGCAGCCATTCAGCTTCTGCAAAGTTTGACCTGGAATTAAGGTTCATTTCCTGCAGAATGCTTTCTATAACTGAAGAATAGTTGTGTTAATTGCATTATATTTTATACATATACACACACACAAATATATGTGGGTGTATATTTAAAATAGCCCACCTGGCATATACATTTTGGAAGTTGGTTAAAAAAAATATGTACACAGCTGATATAGGTGAACAAGTCGCAGAGTAAAATACTTGTTAATTGTTAATTGATTTACTGTAGATTTATAATTTTGCCATATATTACTGAAAAGCTGGTTTCTACTTTCATAGATAGTTTGGGCAAACCACATTGTGGTTTGTTTCTTTTTTGGTAGCATGTGCTAGAACAGTTAATTTAATAAGCCACAATTAAAATGGTTTATTGCAAGGAATAAACCCAGTTTGCTCAGAAATTGTGCCATCAAATCAGTGTCAACTCTTAGTGATGACCGAAGGCAGACCTTCATCAGTATTATCAGTTATCAATTATCCCCAACCTAGTTCTTCAGATCCTCCAAGGCTGCATATTGTTGCTATAATCAAGTCCATTTATCTTGTTGCTGATTATTTTCTTGTTTTCTGCCTCCCATCTTTCCTAGCATTATAGGCTTCTCCAGAGAGGTAGGCTTTCACATAGTGTATTAAAAATATTTGCGCCTTGAATGAGAACACAGGTTTAATTTGTTCAATGAACCATTTGTTTGTTTTGGCTACCCTTGGTATCTTCAAGACTTTTCCAACACCAAAGTTCAAAAATGTCAATACTCTTTCTATCCTCCTCCTTCAAAGTCTAATTTTCACTTCCATAGAGTAAGCATAGGGAAAATCATTGTCTGTATAGTTTTGATAAATACTTCAGAACATCTGAATATCTTTTGCAATCCTTTCATTACTATCCTACCTAATGCTAATCTGTGGTTTATTTTTTGGTTGCTGGTTCCTTGATAGTTGATCCTAAAAGTCAAAAGTTACCCATCATTTGAACATCTTCATTGTCAGTTCTAAGACTAGTTGCTATATCACTGGTTTGGTCTTCTTTATATTTAATTGTAGTTAAATATTTTTTTCACTTTGTCCCTTGACTTTCCAAGAATTGCCACTTTGCTATAATGGTTAAGGTATTGGACTAGAAACCATGAATCTGTGAGTTCTAGTTCTGCATTAGGCATGAAAACTACCCAAGTGATTGTGGGCCAGTTACTCTCCTTCAGCCCAATCCATCTCACAGGGTGGTTAATGTGGAGGAAATGGTAGGAGGAAACATTATGTGCACCACATTCAATTGTACAAAGTGCAGTAAAAGTGGAATATTAATAATAATAAATAACTGAAAGAATGCCCTCAGAGCATTTTGCACTCCTGTGGTTCCCCTCTTTAAACAATTCTGGAAATTTTCCTGCCCAATTACAGTGCAAATCTGCTAGCTAGTATTTAAAGTCACATACCTTAAACTGGAGACCTATTATTTTCATGTGTTTGTTTCCATATTAAATATATATTCAACATCTCCAACCTGGTGTCCTCTGGATCTGGCCACATTGCAACTCCAAGAATTGCACAAGGCTGTAGATACTAGGTGTCATAATTGGGAAAGCTGCTATAAACATTTGGAGTTTCCATTATCAGAAAGTTCATTTTTAGATACATTACCCATAATTTTGCATTTTGGAATGGGCAAGTTAATACTAGAATAAGAAATTATTGGATCAAGGACATTTATAAGTTCAGCATTTAGCAAGGCTTTAATATTTTGCAAATCAGAAAAGTAGTTTCATCAGTCAATCAGAAGCATTTTTAAAACCTTGATTTAAGATTTACATAAACCAGAAACTTATTTAATTCAAAACTCTGATTCGTAAACCTGAGGTGAAAATTCTCTGATTTCGGCTGTTCATTCAAAGCTAATCCCGTTTTTATGAGTTATGGCTTATGGTACCAGAGTGATTAAGTGCATTTGTTTGTTCTGCTAGGCTTATATGCCTAGCAGATGTATGTATATGTATTTACAACACCACAAATTCATCTTAATTGCTTTCTTTCAGGAAAAGAAATTTGCTCAGTTTGCTAATTTTAACATATTTCCTGCTTTATTTTTAATTTCATAATGAGGGACTTTTTCTGCAAGAAGATATTCATATATTTTAAGCATTTGCCTATTTTTCTGTAAAATTACTGGATTTCCAAAAGGATGTCATTGTTTATGATCTGGGAAGAATTAGGCCTTTTCAATAAGTTGATTATTTTGAGCTATATATCTTCTTTCTTTTCAATTTATTTTATTTCACTGAGGATTTGTTTTCCCTCAGCAGTTAACATTACGTTTTATAAATATCCACTAAAAATAGATTCAAGTAACTTCAGTGATGCTTACTCCTAAATATGAATGTATGCTAGCATTGTTTTTATTGTCCTGATAACAATGAAATCAAGGCTGTACCTGAAGCAATTTTTCCACCTTTCCTTTTTATGAGTTGCTTTGCCATTTCCATGCATTTGAATTGTTTATTCAGCACTTTCCTCACTAGATAAAGTATACATCTATCATGCGTGTTGAAATGCAGCCCCACAAAATTCAGATGTTTGTCTCAGGTGATAAAAATAGTAATCTAGGGACTGGGTAGGGCACATATGTTCCATTATCCAGCATGTTGAGATACAGACTAGATAAAAGTAGACAAAATCAGAATAATCGGAAAAAAATAGTTTTACTAGTGAAGTACTACGGTAAGTAATCACTTCAACAAAACTGGTGATGTAAGTTTAACTGAGAGCTAAGTTGGCCTGATAAAGTTTTGTTATAATAGGGAATTTAATTGTAATTATTTTCCTTACTTGCATGGATAATATGGATGCTTTTATTTTAGTCTGAAACTCTCAGTTTATATTATGTGGTTGTTGTCATTTTTATTCTTTTCTTACTGTATTTTAATGGTATATTTGATTAAGAAATATTCATAGAACTTATAAACAATGATCATACAAGCACAGTAACGATACGTTTTAGAAATCCATTGTATGTGGGAACAGAACATCATGAAAAAGGCTTAGCTAGAAATTTTATTCTCACAGTTCCATCTGCAATATGAAGAGGACCTCTATTTATCTATTGCTTATATGAAGTGGGGGTGTGAATCTACATTTTCCAATCTAAGTCAGACATAATAACCAGCAACCACATTTCTTCTTCTATTAAAATTGGGTGGATGCAGGCAGGGTTTCCTGACTGAGAAGGGGGTCGGACTAGAAGACCTCCAAGGTCTCTTCCTATTATTATTATTATTATTATTATTATTATTATTATTATTATTATTATTATTATTATTATTATTATTATTTCCCCCTCTTGTGGCAAAGTATAGACTTGCAGGGTTTACACAAAGTCTTAAATCATGGCTTAATATTATGGAATACAGCAGAATATAATCTTGGTAGTTGGAAAGTTTACCATTTTGAAATGCAGAGTCTTCTCACACTTTCTTTTTGTCCTATCTGGTATAACACAAACACAAAGAGTTGTCCAGCAGTTAGGATTGGATAGGACAGTAGCAAGTTGCCCTGGACCAGGCAATACCATCATCAGCAGGAGAAACATGTTGGCAGCTTTCTCTCCAAGCCCCCAACATTTCACATTTTCCCCTCTAAGTTATTAGGAAGTAGTTCCTGCTACAGAAGCACCTGAATCTTCAATGGAACCAATGAATCGATGAAAACCCCCAAACTGCCAATGTATTTCTGTGGAGGGCACCCTTGGTGCATTTCTATCTCCTTGTCTGGGCCCAGGTGCCAAGACTCCAAGACTCTGCTTTTCTTGCATTTCTCAGCAGAGGCCCTGTCAAATCAGACACACACAAGTGATTGACTCCAAGCTACTCAAATGCAACTGGGCTTCTCATGGTATGATCATGCACTGTTTTAGAAGCTTTTTCACACACTTGTTTTATTTTAGGAGCCTCACTAGGTTGTGTTTCAGTTTATATACTTTCAAATAACATAAAACCTGTGTATCTTAGCAGGCTGACAAAGGAGATGGATTGTGAGGTACAATGTGGGAAGCATCTTAATTCTCCATCAATGGTGCAAGATCACACTTCGAAGAGCATATTGAAATGACCTGTCAACCTCCAGTTGAGTATCCAAATAAAGTCCATGATTTCTTTCATTTCTTAAAATCTTACTGGTTTATTGAATACATGACATGATGTGGGCCAGGAGTCTTCAAACTTGGCCCTTGTATGACTTGTGGACTTCAGTTCCCAGAATTCCTCATCCAGGCACGCTGGCTGGGAGTTGAAGTCCACAAGTCATAAAAGGGCCAAGTTTGAAGACCCCTAAATTAACTCTAAAATCCCAAGACATCTAAACAAAGCATATAACAATGACAACCCACCCAGATGTCCATATAGTTCATGTAAACACCTTCTCGTTGTTTTCAGCACCTTCTGTTATCTTCGTCCCCGTGGTTAGAATGTCCTTGAAAAGTGTCCATACATTGGTGTTTCCACAAACATCTGCAGAACTGGAGAGGTTTCGGTTCTCTCTCCCTAACCCATTTGAAGCCTCATCTCCTCCACCCCTCCTTACTCTAATGACAAGATGAAAATAATATATTTAGAATTGAATAAGTTTAGGATGAGAAAGTAAAAATATTAGTATGGTTTGATGAAAA